TAGAATTGACGAAATGTTGAACAAGGTTATTTTGAAGATTGTTCCATTCCGCTATCAATGCCTCGGTATTCACAAATTCGTTGATGTATTTCTGTGCGTTTAAGTTGCCGTGTATAACAATAAGCCGGGTCTTTTGTCCATCCATTATCCCGCCCAATACTATGACGCTTCCACCATCGAAACGACCATGCTGTCTAACATAGACAGGTGCAAACCTTTCGCCCTTTCGACGGTAAATTCTTAAACGGCTGTCGGCATGACTGAGATTGTAACGAGACTGAAAACTGAAAACATGACAGTATTCCAGTCACGTCGCCGCCAGTGGCGGTGCGCAAGTGCCCAACTAATACGGGCCTGACGATGGCGTAAAGTGAGAATGCCGCCTGTATATGGGCGTCGCGCTCTAATAGGGGGCTGTTGTGCGCGCAACCGATGCCAACAACAGATGCCCCACCCAGCAGCATTCCTATTGCTTGATTTCTCTCTGCTCCTGATAACGTGGCATTGTGAAATATATCAACTTTAGGTGTGAATAACACTAAATTGTTACTGATCACATGTATAGTGCCTTACTTCACTGTCTATCTCATATCGTTACTTTACTTTTAATACTTCAGGTATAATCTAGACAGGTGAATTGTACACTTTTCTTTGTCAAAGACTAAACTTTTAACCCTTCTTACAAAGTGTGTATACATATATAATACACAAATTATAATCAGAATATAATTACAATTGAAGACAGAAAGCTTTATGTATGATTCATAAAAAATAGATATTATGTAAAAGGTGTCTGGTGTAAACTACTAGAGTTTTCTTCTTAATGAAAGGTGGTAAATAACAACAATTGAAAATTGTACGGATTAAATCCTACTTGCAATAGCAGAATAATATTTTGTTGCTGACCATTTTATGCTGTTTACGTACAATATTCATGTGTGTTTAATAATTGAGAAATTCTATGTTACAACTCACAATCAACCATAAATTATGGATAAAATTTATTAAAATATTTCATAAGATATAGCTTACAGAAAAGATTGTTAAATGTGAATGTTGATGTTTTAAATACTTTCATTATTGCATCAATAATAAATGACAATGAAAAAGAAAAATACACAATGGTAATTTCATTTTTTTTAAATTTAAGAAAGAAAACCAACCACTAGTGGAACAACAAGTGGAAACACAACGGAGTCAGGTAAATACACCTTTATTGCTACAAAAATGATTTCAGGCAATAGTAAATTAATCTCATCACCAAGTTTTAAGCCCACAAATTCAATTATAAGCATGCCAAGGAGATGTATGGGTTGTTTGTATAATAGAAATTGATAACATATTGATATTCTTTATCTGTCAAAGAACAAATTTCAAATGTGTTGGCAAATCGACTATGTACATTGTCTTTGGACAAATACATTCAACATAAAGTTAAATGCAATTCATATAATTATACATTTTTTTCTCACAAGAATGTCTTCGAATCCCACGAATAGGATTGCACTCAAATGAGAAAACCATCATATTAGCTTACAATTTGTTCATGTTTCAACCTAGATGGTTGTCCAAGTTTGAAAAAAATACAAACTATGGACATTATAGTTTCAAAACAATTTGCTCTTTATCCAGTTGCCTTTTACCATCTTTTCATCTCTGGCGTTTTGGCAACTACGAGTAGTACAGTTGTACTTACTTAATATTTTGTATGCACGTCAAGATACTGCTTTGTTTACATTACTTTTATAACACTTTGTTTCACATTTATCCCATCTTTTTATAGTTACAAGCATCCTACATTCTGTAAACAATTATCTAGACATTAAAATTCACGTTTGCCTTTCCAAAAGCAGTTAAAAATATTTAGTTTAAGAACTGTCGTTGTATGATATATTCTGATTCCATTTCGTGCTAGACAAATTTATATGCTTAATACTGTTTAAAAGTATTAAACTTGTTTGAATATAATGATTGATTTCATTTTTACAGCTTCTGATATCGGAGTTCCAGTTGGCATTTCGATTGCAATCTTTCTGATTGTCGTTATTGCCGTAATAGCTGTTCTACTTCTAAAGAGACGGTATAGTTTGATTTTTCATTCTGATTTTTCCTTTTTGTATATTATGTCAAAAGTATGTATCTTAAAGGGACTTCACTGAGATTTTTTGACATGACGGGACTCGAAATAATTTTTTGAGATTATTACTCCAGTTGATGTAGATCTATACTAACAACGTATGTGCAAAATTTCAGACCATTAGCTCGCTCCGTTTTCCCAGAATAATTATTATAATAGTGAAAAATGACCCAAAATTGAAAAGCGTTTAAACGCTTTTCACTCAAATCGGACTGAGAATAGCACAAACATATGATTTTTAATGTATTTCTTGTGTTTTTTTCAGTTATATTTTATTTATATTTCTGTTTAAAATGCTCATGTTTAACTACTAAAATATTATGTTTTAGCCACTATTTAGGCTTATAAACCTAAGTGGAGTTCCTTTAATATTCGCATTTCAGTTCTTCTTTTTCTTATTATAGTTTTTATTTCTTTTTTTTAGTACTTTTATTCCATTAGGCAATATGCCCATGATGGCATTACAAGCATGTTATATATGTACATGTTAAATATAACATGAAGGAGATTACAAAATATACCAAAGAAATATTTCTATAACTTTTTTAATTTTCAGTTTAAAATTTTAGATATTTTAACATAGGCTTTCAGGTAAAAAAATGAATGTTGTAAAGTTGTTTTCGGTTTCATTTGAACGTGCTCTTTAGTTCTGTTTAACTCTTATTTTATCGTTATACTGTGTAAATGAATGTATGACCATATCTAAATGTAAAATGTAATATATTTTTAAAAACCATTTCTTCTTTAAAAATGTTTGCCTTTCTTTTATTATTGAATTAGAATTTTCAAAACAAGTACAAAACAAACAATATAATTACGGAGAAAATTGTATTTTTAGCGAAATGTTATCTTTGGCAAGACCCCAAAACCACATTATCAGTTAATATATACCCAAATATTTACAGACAGAGGAAATGGTCAAACTTTTGTCTATTTTTTACATTTCCTATTCGAGAAAAGTGAAATTAATCTCGACACTGAAAAACGACATCAGCGAGCATGTCGCTTAAACTAATCGTCTCTTACTAGAAACCAACGGAACATAGGGATCTAGCTAGTCAATAAAATATTATGTATCATGAAATAAACATTTTTTCTAAATTAAAGTGACATCTGACATTGTTCTTTCTTACAAAATAAATAAAATGTTTCGAATAATTAACATTTTAAAAGGGGATACAAATGCTAGAAACACGTGGAATAAGCACATCCCCTAAAAGCAATTAAAACCGTGTTGTTCCGTCCGATTATTATATACAGGCTTATTCGCCAGTGCAAAATGTAGCATTCTTTTAGGGCAATGTGACAAAATGATTATTTTATGAAGATGTCGGTCTATATCCATCTAATGTGAGTAACAAACAAAATGTGAGTACAATCAAAGCACATAATCAAGATTTAGCTAATTTCTAAGAAAAATCGCATTCAATTAACATAAGGGAAAAGAAATTTCACATAGTAATAACCTTTTCTAAAAAAATCACGTAGTCTACTCATACGTTTCAATGAGTTATTCCTATAGATTTCAGTGCCTAAAACAAAGTGTAAGAAAAGAAGAATGGGCTGAAAATGAATTAAGATGTTTTCCTAGAGATTGATTTTAAGCAAGTTGACCGAACCAGTATTATCTTTATTATAATGATTATTAATTCACTGAGTTGAATTTCATTCAAATATTACACTTATGATTTATACTAAATAAAGTATATAAATCTGTAAGGTTTTTAAACATTTTTTGACGTTTGAAAGATTTACGATTATTTGAATCATTTTGATGTATACCTCAAAATAAAGGGAAATTTTGTAATTTCTTTTCAAGTTAAACATACTTAAATAAACAGCAATAAGTTTCTATTTTGGTGTATTTTTCGCATACTAATAAAATGTGGTTAATGTAGGTTTTATGATAGAGATATGGTTTAAGATAAAGATACATTAGGAGATATGTATGGAGTTTAAGTATATATGTATGGAGTTCGCCTTATTTAAAGTGAGAAACATGTGACATATTAAAGTTTTCATCCTGTTACAGACGTCCATATTTTCTAAACTTAAACAAGATCTTAAAGGCAGATTATGCCTCAGAAACTTACAGATTCTTCAAAAATGGCTTATTTGAGTATTATTTGAGTATTACATGTATTATGACGTTTAAATAATGGTTCTAGAGCGTAAGAGAGTTGGAAAAGGTGAGATTATTTTAAGTAGCTAAATATTAACAAGATAATATTTTGACTTCCATAAAAACACTAAACTACTATAATTGTACTAAAGCCAAAAGCAACAGAAGTGAAAGGGGATTAAGGTAATAGGCCAGAAAATAAATTTTTGAAAGAATAACAGAACTTGAGACACGAATCTTTTGAAAAATAATTAAAATCCTTTCTGGAGATAATGTGCTTTTAAGCATCGCGTTGATAACGTATAGATCCTGTAACACAATTTTTTATGGTTTTATATAATAAATATGATGCTCAAATTTAGATTTATAATATGGTAAGTCCAAAAAAGCATTATTTATAAAGATATTACCGAAATAAACACGTCATGTAAACAAAGGGAGTTAATTAGATTTTTTTTTCTATCAAGGTTAAGTCAAATTTTTCAATAAGAAATGAATGCATATATTTAATGATTACATATAATGTGCACAAATATTTGCAGTACATATTTTACATATTCTTCGATGTTTGAAAATTGTTTTATAAGCATAATTATATACATATATAAACTTTCATTTAAGTGTGGTTTACAACCTCAAGTATAACATACAGGATCTTTAACATTCCCAGGTCATTGGTCAAAGTTTAAACCAGATACACATTTATTGATAATATAAAATTAAACATACCAAATAAGTAGAGATGTTACTAAGGAAATGTTTCTTCTCTAACTTCCCCCTTTATCTTTGCTGTGATTCTATTTATCTTCTTGTTTACATTGTAATAGGATGTGTTTGTTGAAAATGTCTCCACTTGTTTGTGTTTATTTAATATTTATAGGGATATCTTTTGTACAAGGTAATTAATAGTTTTTTTACTTTATCAATAATTAATCTGAATTTAGTTAGTTATAGAAACACGAAAACTAAAGCATTAATAAGGATATTTAAGATAAAGAATAAGACTTTTCGATAGATGATACCTATTCAGCAATTGTTAAGTACTAAACCTGAGTGCATTATAGTTTATATTGTACTGTTCGAATTTATATAGGCAGTAAATCAATCAAAATTACGTGATTTAAAACGACTGAGTAAGGAAACAAGAAATTTTATAATAAAAAAGCTTCCATGTTCTTTATTGATATGATAATGCGGTTGTTGTAGTTTGGGTGTTCTTTTGTTTGTTGTAGGGAGGCGCATGATTTGTTTGTTCTTTTACCTATTCTATTCATTTTGTTATATGAGGAAAGGTAAAGAAGAGTGGAGCAGGTCGAGAGATTAATGCCGCTGACTTCAAATAACATGCCCCTCGCTACTGCGGGTTCGAATCACACGAGTGTTTGGATACTGTTATGTTAGGAAAATATCCAGCAGCTAACATAATGCTGGTGGTTCTACCCAGGTGTCCGTTTGTGCCTGAAAAAGATGCACAGAGCGACACCTGATGTCTTCCTCCACCAGTAAAGATATAACCTTAATAGCGTTGGTGCGACATCAAACTTAACGAAAGTAAAATGTTATTTTTCTACATTATAAATAATGGTAATCATTGTGTGGGTTGAAATCATACTTTTAAGTGGTCTTAATGCAAAACATTACGTTTGTTTATTGCTAAAATTCCCATACACTTGAGATGTTTAAATGATTATAATTTGAGAGGAAGGTCGTTCTAATGACTACTTCACTTAAGTGCTGAGAAAATAGGATATCTCATATATAACATTCACATATAATGTACTTCAAATGTTAATTGATTAAATTATGTTTTTAGCTGAACCCAGACCATCTCTTCTTACTTTATTGCACTTGCGCAAAATAAAACTATTCTTCCTCAAGAGAGATAAGTGAATTCTGTTGCAGTACACAACGGTAAATTTCATCATATATGATAAGTCAAACTTATGACGTAGCATTATTTTTCGTCGAAATAACACCAGCGTTATTTAAACAAAAAAGATGCAACATTTACATCTGACCTTGTGTGTTTCAACTTTTATATGAATAATTGTATTAAATTGCGAATAACGAATAACGATTAAAATAGGAGTATATCAATTATCTATTTACACAACATTTGTTATTTCAGTATTCAAACAAAATCTTCTTGTCGGAACACATATCGGCATATTATTAGCAAACGAAGAACTTTTATCTTAACAAGGCACTTCCGTTTTATTGGGCAAATTATTTCAGAGTGTTGTTAAATATCAAGATTTAAGTTTTTATTGAGTACTGAAGGCCAAATTGGGCATGATAAAAAACAACAGTATAACATATAACAAAATATTACAAAACAAAGTAAATTGACATCTAGTGAAATGAAACCATGGCACTGCTATAAACATATGTACATACAAAAGATAAAAATAATAAAAAATAATACAAGCTTGAACAATTTAGAATCGAAGAATGAGGTCATAATGTGTTATTAGGAACAAGAATAATTTTCTGACAGAAGACTTCTAGATTGAGTAAAACATTTTGACTTTCACTATTCATTTTTTTTTTAAATTTACAATGTTAGGTCTATGAAAATACGAGTTGTCTTAGTATGCCTTCCTCATGCATTGAAAATCGGAACCACTTAATAAATAATGAAATTTCATCATCGGACAGATTATCAGAACATTAAAAACAAACTCTAACACCCCAGTTACACAGAGCCATCGGTGATTGATCGGTAGTTTATTTTAGCCAAATTATGGAGTGAACCGATGACAACGTATTTATCACCGACATCACCTATTGGTCACCTGTTTTCCACCTATGAACTGTTATTGGGGAAAGATAAGTTTCGTCGGTGAAAAATTACCGATTGGGATTTTTAAACACGTTTAAAATTCTCGATCGGTGAAAATATTTTAAAAATTACCGACGGCAACCTATATCACGAGATGTGCAAGCTCTTAATCACCGATATCGCCGATTGGACAAAGATAATCAAATATGAATCACCGGCCATATCTGACGGAAAGTGTTTAACCACTGATGACTAGCTATCAAACACCGATTAATCAGCGTTACGCCCGATTAAGCTCCGATTTACAAACGATGAAAACCAAAAGTATTTCAGCATTTATTCATCGACCCATTCCCGTTTGAGTTTGCTTTCTGTCACCGATGGCCGTTTACACAGAAAACCCGAAATAAAATCACGCATGACAACCGATCATAACAGCGAGTAAATTTAAAATTAAATGACCGATTGGGGACCGACCGTCTGTGTAACTGGGCCTTAAGACCTTTATCCAAATTAAAAAATCTACTTATTTCAACAGGCATTTTGTGGTTCATGCATCTAAATTTGGAAAACGCTATAATAATTGCTAAGTCTGATGGTAATATCACATGCTTTCTCGCTGGGGTCATTGGATTATTAACCAGTATTTTCTATTACAGTCAGTGGGGTGTAATTTATACTGCGCCTCTTATCGATTAAAGCGAATCTGCAGTCATCATTCCAGACGATCACCACTTATCATAGTTTCACATTGTTACTTTAAGTGTAAGACTTTAAATAGGTCGGTTTATCCTTACACAACATGTTTTTATAAACAAAATTGTTTATTTAAAACAAAATCTTACGTTATTTTATAATTAAAAGAAATTTAATCTGGGGCCAAATATAGTTAAAGGTACAATGACATTTATTTGTTTTATTTAAAGTAAAAGACATTCCGTTTTATGCAAAAGGCGAAGTAAAAAGAATGTATCCAGCAGAAAGATAAAAAATAATAATAATAGAAACTTGCATTATTATTATCATTTATTTATTGGAGGCGAATTTCCTTTACCATTGTGATTTTCAAATTCCTTTGTATGGCACGGGGGTCGGGTCACTGGTAGTTACAGGGGGGATCACCGGAAGATCACTAAGTTAGGTCTACATATGCTTAGTATTTTTCTGCCTATCTCGTTTTTTTAGTTATAACTTACTTAATTAACAGACGTATGTCATAAAATCAATAAGCGTTTTGAATCGTTTTATAACTGAATAATAATTTCAGCTGAAAAGATGTACAGCACCAATAACTCGTCATCATGGTTGAAATCAACGAAGACCTGTGATCTAGCCACACCGCCTTACGAAAATTATTTGGGTGAGCTGAAAGTAACTCTCACAGTTGATATATCACAGGAGCATTGGATTGGATACTTCAAAGCTTTCATAGGATTCGAATACATAGGTAATGAAAACTGGTTTTGCAAAAATGATATGATTACAATAATGTATAATGTAATCTTTGTTAACTCCGTTCAATGCTGCAGGAGGTAATAGATTCACATTTAAGCAGCAACGAATTTAAATTCATCATTATAGGCTACGTGTTCTGATAGCTTATTAGATCAATGATTGTAATAAATGATTATACACTTAATTAACAGAAAATAATTTTCATCTTGGCTTTTCATAACATTAAATAGTATATTTAAGTACAGTTATTTCATCTTTTTTAAAATTCCATTTGATTTCCAACAAAGTGTATTAAAATATTTCAGCTTGCATACCATTCGTAGAGTTAAGGGCGAAGAAAACGTTACCATCAATGGACCAGGGAATATGTTATTCAGCCTGTGGGAAGAAGCCAATATTTGGCATCAGATCACAAACAGTAGGTCATATCATACCATAGACTAAAACCATTTAGTAATATTATTCTTTATATGCTACAAATATGCGATTCTGATACGTCCATTTCAAGAAGACTCCAAATTAATAAAACAAACTGATTTGTCCTTTGTAAAGAAAATTATTTATAATTATAAATATTATATCGAAATTTTAATTCCCAACAAAAGATCTGACACCTTTGGGTATACCTAAAGAAGATCGTTTGACTGATCACCCCTATTTTTTATGTATGTGTTGAAAAATAGGCAATAAATCATTGGAAATATAATTCCTAAAAACATTATGATGCAATCATATAGAAATTTAGATGTTCCTTCGATTTTTTTAACAGTATACACATCAAGATTTATAGCAAAAGTTCCTGAAACAATGGGTTAAAAGTGAATAGACTTGACGCATAGAATTTGATAAATAAATTCACCTGCTTATAAACCAAAACAGCCAAGACATTGACATTTATATAAACAATACTAAATTAAGATACTTAGATTCGTTTCCGGTGATAGGTAGCATGTATTCACAACTACCGTCAATGAAAGGGGCATAAACAAACCTAGCCTCACGCTGTCTTTATACCAAATGAGTTAACAAATTTTCTGATGATATTTTGTTTTTAAGTGTTATTGCGAGGATGAGATAGGTTACGACAAAAGTTTACCATACTCTTTTGTCGTTGATTGCGTGTCAATCTACAAAGTAAATAAAGATGGTACGTATTTACAAATTGTTTATTTTATAAAATCATAAGTGTGGCTGCATACATTTTTATTTACAAAAAAAAAACTGAATTCGATAGTTTCAATATTTAGTATATCCATTAGGCAGATTTTGCAAATTTCATTGCTTGAAAATTGTGTCCTAGAGTTGAAATGATTTACAGTCGTAGTCCATATTTATTTCTGTCATTATTATTTCATTCTTTTATCCTGAATAACAATCAAACAACTGTTTCATAAAATATAAAATGTGTCAATGATTAGAATTCGTTTGTGTGTCTATCTTATTTCACCTTTCTTACTTGAAGACTTTTATAGATATTTTAACTGTGTTGATATATTTTGAAACAGACTATACAGTTTAACATGTAACTAAGAATCAAATATCAAAGATACGAAAGACCGGTGGGGACATTTCAACTTCATGAATTCCTGTTTTCAGCTTCATAAATTTTCGATTTCAACTTCACAAATTCACGATTTTGACTTCGTCTTTTTAAAACCATTGTATTTTAGTGTACGCATATAAGTACGTTGTATCAAATTATGTTCTAAAACGACTTTTTCAACAAAATTATTTAAACATTAGTAAAACATATAAAGCCCTATAAAAAAAGCACAAGTTGATATATTATTTGTTGCGTTTGCGTTGAAGCCTGTCTGATAAAGGTTTAGATATTATGTCGGTTTGAATGTCAATTATATGAACCGTTTACATGAATGTTTAAAATAACAAAATCTATGTTTCGTATACATAAACAGTGGTTAAAAATCACCCTGAAGGCGCCGACGAATCAAAGTGTATGACATTCCAAACTCAGCGAGTAAATAGAAATCAGTTATCTAAGTTGTACAAATGGACCTCCTGCGGACAATACTACTATCGCTATTGTGAAAATGGTAAACCATAATGTATACAAAAAAGTAAAAAAAACATGTTAATGCATATATCAAAAAAGTTTTTTTCGCATACATTTATGCTTAATATTTGATGTTGACATATATACATTTATATATAGTCAAGTACGCTGGCCAAATTATAAATCACCGAGAATACATAAATTTGACTTTCATTTTGATTTTAAAAGTGTTAGTTTAAACATATTTTATTTCGAACATTTTACACATACAAGATTTACATACAATGGTGAAATAATACAATACAATGCTGAAAAAGGATCAGATCCGAAAGCATAAAATGCTTATAAAGGCCTTTTCCTGACATAAGATTAGTTACTATAAATATGACGGGTTTTGAAAATGTTTGAAATATTGAAGTTTAGGTAAAAAGTAATTGATTACAAAAAATGTAGAAGATACGTTACTGTCGTCACTAAGTCAAATTAGCGACCTAGAAACAAAAAGGGGCGAGTTGAGTAGAAGTTTCTATCTGAAAGATATATGAATAGGGACTTAATAGATTAGACGCAATAATTGTCTGTTTATAACTGTATAAAGTTTAGAATTTCATAATTTAAGATACACAAAGAAACTTAATTTCATAAGTAGAAGAAAAGAGGAGGATCTATTCGGTGAGTAAATTTGAGGAGCAATGTATCATAGACTATGAAAAATCGTTTGCTGTCTCGGATAAACATTTGAACTGCCTGAAATATGCTGATATTGATATCGTCACTTAAGTTTATATCGCCGTTAAGTAGTGTGTGAAGAGTGACATTACAGTAGGCTGAAAGAGTTTGGAAAAGGCTGTGTCTGATATTACTGTATTGTTTGCATTCAAAGAAAAAATGATGGTTAGTTTCTACAATCCACATTGACATAAAGGTGAGTTAACAATTTTTCTGTATAGATGGTAGTTTAAAGAACTGCACTCTGTTCGAGACGTGCATGATATATTTGCCATTTTCGAACACCTGTATAGAAAAATTTTGGACATTTTGTTATGTTTCTATTCAAAAGACACTTAAAAGCAGATAATGTGGGTGCATTTTGTACATCAATTGTAAGTTCATTCATTCTCTGAGAGCTGAAGGAAGAAAAGCGTTATAGTATAAAGATGTTCTTGTGTGAATGCCTTGTATATCGTTCGAATTTCTTAAATTATAACGTGTGGTTTCACCCTACAGACGGAGGACAATAGTTGATAGGTAGACAGGTGAGAGTCCATTTTTCAATCTTATAAAGAAGAATCAATTTATGTTTCCTTCTTCTGCTGTCCAGAGGTTCCCACGGGACCTCTCGTTGAAGCTCATGAAGAGAACACAAGTTTAGTAGCACCAGATACAATTCTAGAAGCTTCATGTTGGATTTTATCTAGTTCAGCTTTTTCATATTGAGTACAAATTGATGTAAACAACATCGGCATATTCTAGAATTGGCCTGATGTAGGATAAGTAGATTATTTCTAAAGATTTTCGATCAAGTTGAAATTTTAATTTGCGCATTATATGTATACGTTTCCACGCCATCTCCTTAACATGATTAATGTGAATATGCCAGGAACCATCGTCAGAAAAGTGTAAGCCTAAATGTTTGTGAGATGTCACTGAAGATATGGTCTGGTTTTGCATTAGGAGGGGTGGATGGAACTGTTGTGATGTTTTACGTGTGATTAACATGGTTTCAGATTTGGAAAGGATTAAACTTGACTAGCCATTTGTCAGCCCATGAAAAAATCTTGTTTATGTCAGATTGAAGAATGTCAGCCGTAGTAACTGGATGATCAACGATCAAATACAAACTGGTATCGTCGGCAAAAAAGATTTACAGAGGACCTTAAGTCAACAACAATATCTATTGATATAAAACTAAAAAAAGAAGCGGACCCAGAATCGAGCCTTGAGGAACTCCTGCGTTTATTACAGACCAATCAGATTTGACTCCAGGAAGGACAAACAAGATTGGCGTCTATTTGAAAAGATAATACGAAAACCAGTCTAGGAGGGGTCCCTGAATACCGGCACATTTTAGTTTAAGCAGGAGACCCTTGTGCACACTTTATCAAAGGCCTTTGCTGATGTCGAAAAAGACAATCCGGATCTCAAGACCTTCATCAAGAGCCTTACAGAAAGAGTTGTAAAGAAAGGTTAGTTGATTCACAGTTGAGTCGCCAGGTTTGAAACCAGATTGAAGGGGCGATATAAAATCATTATCATGAAGAAAGTTAAAGATATACTTAAACAAAATGCGTTCAAAAACTTTTTCCATACAACACAATAGTGATATAGGACGATAATTGCTGGGTAACGATGGATCTCCTTTCTTAAAAATTGGGCAAATGTTGGCATCTTTCCAAGTTTGGGAATCTTACAAGTTAGGAGTGAATGATTAAAAAGAGAGCAGAGTGGATATTTGATTACGGACGAGGTTTCGAACAAAGATACGATTACTTATTTCATCGGGCCCAGAAGCTTTATTGGTATTTAAAGTTTTGATAGCATCTTCAACATCTTGAGTTGTAATACTAATTGAAGTGAGAGTGTTCACAGACTGTTCGAAAAAATCGCCAGGAACTTTCTTTATTACAGTTTTCAAGAGAGGACTGGTTGCTAAAATAGTTGTTTAAGAAGTCGGATTTTGATTTGTTATCATATGAAAGTGTTTGAGTAACTGGGGTGAGAGAGTGCCGGAATTGTTTGCTTTTCAGTCGGTGATATGAATGATTTAATGAGTCTCCACCAGTCTCTCTCTGCGATGTGTTGTCTGATGTAAGAGAGTCTGCTAGTTTCTGGATGTGGTTACGTTTGGCCGTGTGAATAAGTGAGATGACTTTATTACGTAATTTTTTGAATGAGTGCCAGTGCAAAGGATTTTGGGTTTGTTTGGCTCTGTGATAAAGTTTTTTGCGTTTACGAATAAGCTGTTTTGATTTGTGTCGTTATCCATACTGCATCAGTCGGTTTTACTATTATTGTTCTTGTAGGAATGTACTGCTTTGAAATTTCGAGAATTTTTGTTGCTTACTAAAGTTGCGTGTTCATCTATGTCGGTGTTTGTATATTGATCCCAGTCAGTTTGCATAATACTTTGTTTTCAGAGTGTGGTAGTTGCCGCGATCATATAACCATATAAAACGCTTGAAAGATCCTGATTTAGGTTTAGAAAAGGAAAAAAGAGCAAAAATAGGGCAGTGGAAGCGAATGTTTTGGTCCAAAACTGATTCCCCAACACCTGATGTTATTACTCGGTGACTGCAAGAAACAAGAAAGAGATCTAAAAACAGATGCTGACGACTCGGTAAAATGTGTAGGTTCGTTAATGAGTTGTTCAAGGTGAAATTGTTGACAAATTGAAAGAAGTTTGCGTGATAATGTCGGATTAGATGGATTAAAGTTAAAGTCTCCAGTTACAATTATATCTGTTATATTTGTTTTCTTCTGCCAAGTTAAGAGAGTGTTCGATAAGAGTTGTATAATGTGCATCTGCATTGGGAGGTCGATAAAAAGTACCAAACAGAATACGTTTAGATTGAGAATAATAAAAATTTCAACCCATACACATTCTATATTTCTAGGTTCGAGATCCCACCGCCGTTTGTAAAATAGTGAATTCTTAATGTATACAGAAACCCCACCATGACTGTCACCTATCCTGTCATTTCTTTCTGGAGAATGAAAATATAGATATATCAGAATTTGAAACGCTGGGATTTAGCCACGTTTCTGAAAACGCAAGAACATCGAACATACTAAATTCAGTGGTTAGAATTTCTATTTTGCCAAGCAGGCTTTGGACATTATATTGTAGTACAGATAAACATGAAGTTGACGACATTAGATTTACTAGATCCAAAGACATAGACGACGTAGTGGACAATGATGCAGTTGATGAATTTGTTGATGATGGACCAGGATTCGGATGAATATCTCCAGATAAATTAAGAATAATATGGTGAATATTAAAAGTGTTCATAATATATAATAATTATTATAGTAAATCTTTGATTTAAAAGCTGGACTAGTGTTGTAATATTGAAAGGGTTTTTGTTTATTTCCCCTAAAAAAGTATTATTGTACACTGGAATTTGAGAAAATTGCAAAATTTACACGAGTTCTAAGTGCGAGTGAAAATGTGGATATTAACTCTCTTCGATGTGTGCATATTTTCGAAAAAAAAATCAGTTTTATTTTATGCTTTATTGTTTATTAAGAGCAATCGTCGAGTGTTTTCGTTCTAGCACGCGAAAAAGACGTTTACTGGTTTTGTGAACGCTGTGCAACCTAAAGTGTTTCAAGATTGTAGTTATCATAGCGGACTTATTATTAACAGTTTAGAGAAAAATAATAAATAAGTCTAGAAATATGTCATTTAGAACAACACTCAATAATGTATTTATTATTCCAATACGACCCGAATTTCCCCATTGAACATAGTAGAACCGAAAGTGTGTGTTATAATGCAATAAAATCACAGTTTGACATTCTATATTTAGACATGTGACGTAATCATTATACACGTTACTTAATTACTAAAAATGTGACGCGCTGAAAATAAGTACAGAATCAGGCGCAATTTAGATTAATATCAGGTACGGCAGCATTTATTTGTTGATGTCGTGTTAGAATCGAAATAATATATCAAAATCGGTGATTGTTTTGCTTTTATTACTGTTTGTCGTTTTGATGTGTCGGGATACGCCCTCGTGATATAATTCCTCGCATCCTAACTCCAAACAGTGATTTTATTGAGCGATAAAATCACTGTTTTGGGATATATTATTTCTTAAATATACGTACGGCAGACCTCTGGGTGATATAAAGTGGTAAATATGGATTTTATCACACGGATAAGTAGATATTAGAAGGTTTTTTCTTATAAATACCGGATTTTTGTTCAACAAATTGTACAAATATGAAATTTTTCATACCAAAAGATGAAAATATATTCTGCCCAGCAGGCACTCAACGTTGTTTCAACGTTGAAACAACGTTGAAATATGGTGGTGACGTTGTTCAACCAAAATTCAACTATGAACGACCATGCTGATATATTGCCAATGTATATTCAACGTTGATTAAACGTTGTTTATGGTTGAAGGTTCACTTTTAGTTTAATCATTATTCAAACTTTTATACCACTTATTCTGTGTAATTATTTTATTATTTAATTGGTCTGCAAATGATTTTTGTCAGGAAAATTACGTAACCATTATTTTGCGGATATTAAAATATGTTTTGAATTAGCACTTACAAAACAAGAGGGCCATGATGGCCCTTGATCGCTCACCTGACACAACCGCATCCAAGCAATGTCTTAAACAAGCATCATGGCCAAGTTTGATGACAACTGAGTCAAACATCTAGTGTGTTATAAAGATTTTTTCATATTTGGGCAATGTGACCTTATTTTTTACCGGACACGACCCATATTAAAACTTGACCTAGAAATCATCAAAACAACCTTCCTGACCAATTTCCAAGAAATTTGGATCAAAACTGCAGCCACTATAGTGTAAACAAGCTTTTTCTATTTTTAGTTCCTGTGACCTAGTTTTTGACATGAGATGACCCATCTTCGAACTTTACCCAGAAATCATCAAAACAACCTTCCTGACAAATTTCCAGAATATTTGAATCAATACTGCAGCCACTAGAGTGTTAACAAGCTTTTTCTATTTTTAGCCCCTGTGACCTAGTTTTTGACCGAAGATGACCAATCTTCAAACTTTACTTAGATATCATCAAAACAACATTCTTGACAAATTTCCAGAATATTTAGATGAAAACTGCAGCCTCTAGAGTGTTAACAAGCTTCTTATTTTTTAGCTCCTGTGACCTAGTTTTTGACCTGAGATGACCCATCTTTGAACTTGACTAGAAATCATCAAAAACAACTTCCTGAAAAAATTTCCAGAATGTTGGGAATGAAAACTGCAACCATTAGAGTGTTAACAAGCTTTTTCTATTTTTAGCTCCTGTGACCTAGTTTTTTGACCAGACATGACCCATCTTCAAACTTGACCTAGAAATCATCAAAACAACCCTTCCTGACAAAAATTTCCAGAATATCTTTAAATCAAAACTGCAGCCACTAGAGTGTTAACAACCTTTTTCTATTTTTTAGCTCCTGTGACTAGTTTTCGGACCGGAGATATCCCATCTTCGAACTTGACCTAGAAATCATCAAAAACAACCTTCCTGACAAATTTCCAAATATTTGGATGAAACTGCAGCCCCTAGAGTGTTTAACAAGCTTTTTCTATTTTTAGCTCCTGTGACCTAGTTTAGTTTTTGACCGGACATGACCCATCTTTCAAACTTGACTTAGATATCATCAAAACAACCATTCTTGACAAATTTCCAGAATATTTAGATGAAAACTGCAGCCACTAGAGTGTTTACAAAGTTTTCCTATTTTTAGCTCTTGTGACCGTAGTCTTTGACCGGAAGAATGACCTATCCTTGAAACTTGACCTAGAAATCATCAAACAACTTTCCTGACAAAATTTCCAGAATATTTGATGAAAACTGTGGCCACTAGAGTGTTAACAAGCTTTTTCATTTTTAGCTCTTGTGACCTAGTTTTTGACCGGAGATGACACCATCTTGAACTTGACTTAGATATATCAGGAACAACCTTCCGAATATTTGGATGAAAACTGCAGCCACTAGAGTGTTACAAGCTTTTCTAATTTTTACTCCTGTGACCTTAGTTTTTGACCGGAGATGGCCCATCTTTGAAACATGACCTAGTATCATTAAAACCTTTCCTGAACAAAATTTCCAGAATATTTGGATGAAAACTGCAGCCTCTAGAGTGTTAACAAGCTTTTTTCTATTTTTAGCTCCTTGACCAAAGTTTTTGACCCGAGATAACCCTTCTTCGAACTCGATCTGTATTTCATTGAAGACAAACATTCTGACAAAGTTTGAATGATGATCCAATCAAAACTGTGACTGCTAGACTGTTAACAAAACCCAATTGTTAAGAGTGTTAACAAGCTTTTTCTATTTTTTTAGCTCCTGTGACCTAGTTTTTGACCGGAGATGACCCAACTTCGGGACTTGACTTAGATATCATTAAAACAATCTTCCTGACTAATTTCCAAAATATTTGGATGATAACTGCCGCCTCTAGAGTGTTAACAAGCTTTTTCTCTTTTTAGCTCCTTTGACCTAGTTTTTGACCCGAGGTAACCCATCTTCGAACTCGATCTGTATTTCATTGAGACAAACATTCTGACAAAGTTTGATGATGATTCAATCAAAACTGTGACTGCTAGACTGTTAACAACCCAATTGTTGACGACGCACGACGACGGACTCCGGACACAGCCCCATCACTATACCTCACCTTGACCACTTCGTGGTCAGGTGAGCTTAAACTCTAGATTTGGAAATAATATTGCGCTTTCCGTTAATGCTTTAAATATAAATTTCTTTTTATATAATTATTTACTTGTTCTCTATTTATTATATTGATTAAAACCCCGTTTATAAAATAACGCTGATCAGGGGAAGTTTTTGATGCGGATACTTTGGTGTCAATGATTATCGTTCTTGCAAATGGTGGCGCTGTTTTGAAATTTGAACAGATACAGAAGTCGATGATTAATTTTGATTTCTAAGGTATTACCGTAGTGTTTTACTTTAGTTTGCAGATTCTTTTTCAATATGTAGTTACTTATTCTTAAAAGTCTACTTTGATTTACACTATGAAAGAAATGAGCGATGTAAACACATGATTGATTTGATTTGACACGTTTTCGCGACCTAATTGGTAGGCCTTACGCTTACGCAAAGTTATTGATGCCGAAGTTACAATTCGTGAATTTATAGGTAGTAATAAATCTATTTTACATTCCAGATCCTGATCCTGGCTGGAATTGAGAATTTTGGAGCTGTAGCCTGTTTACCATGCATTCAACACGGAAAGAGCTGTCAGCTAGGTTTGTTTAATTAAATTCTTAAATTTAATAAAGATCTATAAGTATAAATATTTCAACTACTGGATGTTAATCTTGTCTTTATAATATATTATTTCAGTATGCTTTTGAAACAGTTATATCATTAATATAAAAAAAACATATTTGTTGTTTTCAGGATGCTGCATAAAATGGTCTTAGCTGGAGCCTAAAATATTTATTGGAAAAATGCAGCTAATGCTGCCCGTAACTGATTGGGAGCAGATTTGCTTACCAATCATAGGTGAGACTTTTAAATAGCTTCTTTTTTTATAAATACTTTGTTGATTTATGGACATAATTTGCTGTCAATATGAAACTTTAGCTATATCTCATTTTCTATGCTGTTTTATGATGTAAATCTTAGAGATAAGCACTTAAAGATAAAAACAAATCACTACTAATTTCTTATTTTATATTTGCAGAAACAGTAACAGACAGCCAAACAAGTATTCAAATGCCACCATGAAACACGTAATACATACCCAGAAAGATCTAGATAAAGAAGTAGATTTGAACAGATTGTAGCTTAATTGTTACATCGTTTGAATTTAAGATGCGCTTGAACTGTATTTTTGAAATAAAATATCTTAAGTATTTAATATTGTCTTGATTTTTTTTTCAAACTCTGTTACTCTGCTTTATATCTTAGAAATAAAATATGATGGGTTTTTAACGTTGAAATGACATTGAAATATCAACGTTGTTTAAACTTTCAAATCCGAATATAAATCCAACGTTATTTCAACGTTAAAATCTGACCATAATTCAATGTTGTTTCAACGTTGGTGTGCCTGCTGGGCTGTATTTATAGACATTTCACTTCCAAAGACTTCTCTTTTAATTTTATTAACTGAAAGTATTCCGCGAAAACACCAGTAAAAATACGGAAACAATTTTAAATGCACTGAAAATAGGAAGATGGAAATATACATTTTATTTAATCCATATTCTCAATATTTCGTTTATAAGCATAAAATAAAACCCAATATCTCATAAAATAGTATTCAAATAAGATACTTATAATTTTAGAAAATATTGGGCGACACAATGAAAAAATTCACGCATGGAAGGAAAGCGCAGCAATTTGTTTTAACAGATCAAGCCATTCACTTACATACAATGAGCTTCGGGCAACAAACTTGGAATTTACTAGTCCGGTATGGACAAGCATCATTTGCAGTGACGTCATTCATGAATACAAAGGTATTTGGAGAATTGAAATTTTACAAACATGTTGAATGTAAAGTCAGCTTTTATCAATTAAAGCTGAATACAGTTTTTTCAAAGTACGGTCAATTTTGGTTATATTTCAAAATACCAATTTTATCTTTATATGTGTATATATACTAAACAGTTTTGTCACAACTAAGTTGTTTTACACTTAAGTTTTATCTTACAATATTGCGTTCCATTATCAGTGTTGGGCAGTATACATTTAACATCGACATATCTTGTATCTGAATTATAAATGGATTAAATTGTTTGTGTTTACATTTTTATTTATTTATTAACTTTCATCAGATATAATCTTAATCCACTTATTAATAGAACAGTGGCAACCAAAATGTCTTTGTATAAGACAGAATAATGTATTTCAACAGAATATGATTACCGTCTGCCAAATTGTCGATTTTGTTATGTGAGTGGAACAAAATCTGGTGTAGTTCTGAAATTCACATCTGACGACACTCAATACAAAGCTTTATGTATAGATGGTTAGTATTTCTAAAGTCTTTTGAGAGTTTTTGTTGTTCAAGAACTTTCATGGGTGTCTGTATTTACCGCTGCTATCGAAAAATATAATCGATTAAACCTTGCAACATTGTTAATTTTGCAGTTTTCGAAAACGTTCTCTTTTTTTTTTGGATAACTCTTAATTGCAGGTTTATTAACAGTGTACATCTTCCTCTCTCCGAATGATTTGCACTTGTACATCGCCGATGTATTCCGTCCTATCAGAAAAAAAGGAATTAAAAAACATTGCAATTGGATGGATTTAACCGCACGGCAATGGTATTTCTTTGTGCACAACACTTGTTAAAATGCCTCTATAAAACGTTTGACAAATCATCTGTCAAATGCTGTTCTAACTCCAGTTATATATATACATGTATAGGTAACTTATATTTTACCATGACTTAAATGTAAACAAAATTATTTAGAAGGTACACAACACTAAGTACATAAAGAACATATTGTCTGGAGAAAATATGGGAAATAATTGGATTAACTGTAACGACAATTCAATATTTTTATTTGTAATCTACATTTTCTATAGGAAGAAGTTATATCGTAAACAGCTTTTTAATGAACCTGTTAAAGCGTATATCGAAGGACCTTTACATATACATTAATATTATTTTAGGTCAGAGAGAGACAACAAGTACAAGATCAACTATTACTTCATCCAACTCTGTATCAACAAGACAAAGTACACTTTTATTTGAATAAAATAAATGGTAGATAACTTTTGAGAAAAAAGTATACACTGTTCAGATAAATGAGTTACAAAGTATATACCACATGGCCGTTTTAAGAAATGTTCATTTTTATTCATTATTAAAGGTTGAAGCACGTTCACTGATACATTTATACAATCATCTACTACAACAATGTATAATAACAGTGCATTGAATGTTAATGTGTCGTCCAATACTACATGGTATAGGGAACAATAAAGACAATGGGGCTTTGTTACATTTATTTCTCTTTAAATCACCGTAGATTTTCTGACAGATTTTTGGTTTTAATTGATAAAATAGATAAAAGATAACCAAATTTAAACATTAGTTTGTGTCTGAAAGAGAGCATCATTTTTAAGGGAACTAATGTTCAAACAATCTAAAAGTATATATATGACTCACTGATTGTCTTTGAAATGCCGTTCGCTAGGGACGCTGCGTTTTCTCTGAAATCGAAAAGCGCGAAGCATGACAGAACAATGTTGACAGTACACTAGCACGATGGCGAAGCGCGAAAGTAAGATAAGACAATGCGAGAGTACGAAGGCGAAACATGAAAGTACGATGGTGATAGTCCACCTTACTGTCGTATTGTAACCTTTGAACTGTCGCACTGTCATAATCGTATTGCCATAATCGTATTGACTCGCATCACCATCCTACTGTCATTCTGTCATCATTGTACTCTGTAATTGTCACCATTGTACGGTCGTCCTCTCCCATCGTACTTCGTGCTGCCAATATTGTACTATGGACTTTCTGTTTGCCATGCCTTGTCTTATTTTTCTCTGTATTGCATGTCGATGTGGACATTTTGTCGTGTCGTTTAAAACTGTCAACTGTCAAGTATTATGCTTATTACTTTTATATTATATCGCAAATTTACACCCTCGATCCTCTAGGTAATCATCATATTCTTCAAACTGAAATTATTGCTAGTTTCTAATAGCAGTATGCAAAGGCGTTTATCTTGCTGGTTATTGATTCCAGTCCGCCCATAGGTAAATGTTTCATTTACTTTTTTTCTTTATTTTTGTTTCTTTCTGTAAACATTGTTAAATTCAAAGAAACAATTCGTTTACGGAAATATTGAAACCTTATAAACATACCATATATCGCATCTATTCACCACCCGCCGATTAATAAATTTATCGTCAGACATAATTTGAAACGACATCAAATTAAATAATACAAAATACACTTTCAATGTTACCAAAAATAACAGCTATCAAAATGGCTGTAGTACTGGTATGCAGTTGTTAGAAATTTAAATGGAAACAAACGGTGACGATATATAACGTAATGTGATTGGGAGATAAGTATTCGCGTCTTTTATTTCTTAGGCTACTAATAAACAACACAAATCGGAGTACGAGTTCTACGTAACGGCATTGATTGCATTGGAAAAGCATAAATAAATTCTTGTGACTGTGAAAGGCAGTAATTTACGTGGATTGTAAGTGCAGTTTGCACTGTGTTAATTACTTTCTTTGTTCACTTATCAATATTTTACTTTTAAATACCTTTTCAAAATTTTCATGAAAATTAGCATGAATCTGAAGGCATGCTGCTAAAATCTACACACCCATTTTTGGAACATTAAGCTATTTTCAAATAAAACACTTTTATAAAACGACATCATTGTTTTAGAATTTCTTATTTTGTTTGAAATGATATGAAGTCAATATTGTGATATAATTGGAATTTAGGTGATGTCAAAGAATTATCAACATCCATATCTCGTATATCATCAGCATCGGAAACTACAGCTCAGGTGGAATTAAGTTCAACTATAGGTTTATTTTCATCAGAGACTACGAGCATTCATGTTAAGGAATCACAGATGAGCCAAAGTAAAGTTACATTTGAAAGTGAGAGTATTAGTCCGCGTATTAACATTCGGTTCCAATACAGATTTTATTATGAATTGTATATCATGTGCAATGATTATTAACATATAATTATAGCAAATATTACGGTTGTTTGACAAAGAAATCAAGAAAATAATTTAAACAAACAAAAAATAGATAAAAAACATGAAATAGGTAAAGATAGTGTTATTATGGACAATATGTATGATATATGATATAAATATAAGACTTAAAACATAATATAATTTTGAAGATAAGCAAAACATTCAAAGAATGAAAAATGCTATTGAGAAATTCTCAAATTATGGCCATCAGAAGTTTTCAAAAATGTCATTGTACTTTTTACTTTAATTTATATCAGCAAAAAGGTTGTTTATTAAAGGCTGACATCATTTGAAAAAACAAACACTGATTTGTGTTTAAGTTAAGAAACTTGAATAAAATGTAAAGTGTAAACTGATCCAAGATACAACTTCATTTTATCGACTAAACTGAATATAAGTCTAGTTCATCCGTAGTAAATTGTGTTTTCAGGCTCCTCTATAATCGTTCCTGTAGGTGTTTCGTCTATTGCTGTCACTGTCGTTGTGCTAGTTGTGGTATTCGTCGTATTAAAGAGACGGTATTGTATTTCTATGTATACATGCCTATTTTACATGTTTAGCAAATATATTAAAGACAATTGTCATTTATTCTAAAGTGAAAATGTTGATAATACCTTTGTAAATTGTATGTGTCTATGTGATGACATATGAAGACTTGTTTTTACTATTATACCGAAACGGTTATTAATGAAAAACACTATTTTAATGAATGTAAACATGAACTAACCAGTTAAGTTTAAAATTAAAAACAAAATTAAAAGCTGACAAACTTGTGATACATACTCAATCTAAAGACATAATGGAAGGATTTTTTCCTTTTCAGTGGCAAAATTCCAACCACATGTTTCAGAAATGTTCAATCTGATTCTTCAGATTATGCCATACCAGAAATTCACCAAGTTGATCAACATGACTACGCTTCTTTAGGATTAAATCAGGGTCAAGTTAGTGGGATAGAACTTCCATCAACGACCTACACTGATTATAATGCCATTCATGGAAATAACGAGCATACGTATTCTGAATTAGAAACACATGCAGAGGCATCCAACACCGATGCTAACATTGAAAGTCATTATTACAATTACTAGCTATGTAAAAGAGCAAAACAACATACTTATGGCACTTTGTATATGAAAGCTTTCAATTAAGTATTATATCATAGGTTATGTACGTTGTGGACGTAGTGAACAGGGATATAAAATCTACATGAGATAAACTTGTTAAGGATCATGTCGACCTCCCAGTCCGTATTTCCCTTATGCATGTTTTTGTTAGCTTTAAGACAAAGTCTGTTAACAAAATGTTTTTACAAAGTCACATTTTTATTTTTCACAAAATTTATTCTTTAAGTTTTTGAAATCGTAAAGAATCTATTTTAACCCAATATGTTTTCATTTTTAAACTCTGGTATCTTTTTCAATGTTAACGTTGCCCAAAAGTCATCACGTGTATTTTGATGTCTCACCAGACAGTCTTCAAAATGTTTAAAAAGATGTATAACATAGAATACTTTAATCTGCCAAACCTAGAATGAACGCTTCTTGCATGTTTATTTCTCTTTATCTTAGATGTGGCTGCATTTTCATTGAGTTTCGTGACAGAATATTACATGATGCATTTCTATTGGCATTGGTCTTGCTTTTGTTTGAAATGCACGATAGTGGAAAGTTATATTATTCATTATCAGTGTTGTTAGCACAAAACCTCAACACTTAGTTTAAGAAAATGAGCAAATATGTAACTAGTTAACCTCTTAATTAACTAGTTAGTTATCAGGTTAACTAGTTACGTAACTAGTTAATTTTAATTTTTTCAATAAATAAAATATCATAACGGGAAATAAATGCATGTTAGTGTCTGCAACTGCCATTAATTTATTATATTTTCAGCTAAATATGAAGAGGTTAACTAGTTACGTAACTAGTAAACCTCTTAATTTACTAGTTAATTAATAGATGAACCAGTTACGTAAATTCCTAACTAGTTAACCTCTTAATTAACTAGTTTGTTAAGAGGTTAACTAGTTACGTTCATACCTAACTAGTTAACCTATTAATTAACTAGTTATTTAACCCATTACTTCATGAGCCTTTTGTGAAAAATGGCTGTTTTCATTGAAAAGTCTCCCGTTACAAGTTATAACTGTTATAATACTATAAAAACTGCTTTAACACTAATCAAACTTGGCACAAATGTTGAATGGATCATTGTCCTTGAAACAACATGCTCAGGCTTAAATTTTCTTTTACCATGGCAACGAGGAGACATCTCAAAATTGCCAAAAATTACTATTTTGCATTGCTTTTTTCTATCAAAATTGATTTCAAAGTGCTGCAACTTCTCAATGGATTGAGATAGAGTCAAATGCTTTTCAGCGTTGGTTACACGTTACCTTATGATCAATCTGGGGTCATTTATAGCCTCTCACAAGTCCAAAATTTTCTTGGCGATGAGGGGGACTCCGCCCCCTTTCAAACCCCCAAACAGAAGGGGACACATTCCTCTTCTGGCAACCCCCTGATGTATCTTTTGCTTGGGGGCCGCGCCGAAAAAAATTGGTCACTTTTTTAAACAACATTTCTCAAACAAAAACAAGTGTTGGGGACCTAAATAAGGCATTTTTTCACCATTAGAGACAACAAAAGGGGGGGGGGATGAAAAGGCGTTAAAATGTGTGTATATCGCGTAATGGGTTAAGAGGTTAGCTAGTTACGTATTTTCACAACTAGTTAACCTCTTAACTAACTAGTAAATTAAGAGGTTAACTAATTACGTAACTAGTTAACCCGTTATCACTTTTCTATGAATAGATATTGCATAATATTTGGAATACCCGTACTGTACCATAATCCTTCTTCCGCATATGCGCGGGGTATGACTAAAATACAAAAATAGGGTTATATTTGCGAAAATAGCATTTTGACTAAGATACGGAAATAAGGTTATTTTTGATGAAAATAAAATTTTGATACAAATCTGAAAATATGGTAAGTTTTAAGGTAGATAATTTAAGGGTGTTTCTGGCTAAAATAAGATAATTTTCGCGAAAATAATATTTTGAGCAAAATCTGATAAAGGGTTAGTTATGCCGAAACTAACATTATTATTTTCCTTTAAGAAATTCTGGTATCGATAGGCCCGGTATCAATGTCCCCAACAATCAACCATCGCTTTGGATATTAGTATTTATGCATGCATATGTTTATAAATGTTCTCTTTCACCTAATAGTATATGCTTTATATGCAATGAATGTGTTTGAATTTTGAATCTTTGACAATGTTACACAAATACAATAGTTTAATTGAACGACGAATAGTATGTTTAACATGTATTAATATGTTGACAGTCCCCTTAATATTTACAATTTTAACAGATTGTTAATCTTGAAAACAGTACATTATTATTTGATAATAACTGACTTTTGATTTTTAATGTGATATTTGAATAAAAATAATTTATTTGAATTAACATCCGGTCGAAACGGGGAGATATTATAATATACCACAGTCTGAACGCAAATGCCGTTGTTGCCTGATGAACGTTGTAGAAACATATATATGAAGCATATAGAGAATTAAGGGAAAAATATTCTAAACTGGCCAACACTTAATAAGTTTGAAAAGTTAATGTCAAACAAGTATAAAGTCTGTACAATTAAATTTTTATATATATATACATATATATATATATATATATATATATATATATATATATATATATATATATATATATATATATATATATATATATATATATATATATATATATATATATATATATATATTTCGCTGACTTAAAGAGTAATACTGTTCATTAGTCGTACACGGTTTGTTTTTGTATTTACCATTTTTGTAACAGAAATATATTAATGATTACTGAAGATGTACTGAACTGAATTTGTCACAATATGTGTACTTTGCTAACTTAAAGATAGAGTTTGTCAGAATATGTGTACTTGGCTAACTTAAAGATAGCATTTTCAGAATAAGTGTACTTTGCTAACTTAAAGATATAATTTGGCAGAGTATGGGTACTTTGCCTACTTAAAGAGAAACACTGTTCATTAAAATTTGGCAGAGCATTTATATTTCGCTATTTTAAAGAGAAAATCTGTTCAATAGTCTTACACAGTTTGCCATTGTATTTAACAATTCTTTTATCAGTAGTATCTCAATGCCTATTGAAAAAGTATATTATGTATTGAGTTTTAGAACACTTTTCATTTATAATCTATACAGTTAACTATTGAACCAAAAATAATGCAATGCTTACAGAAGATTTATTTCATCAAGCTTGATGAAGTGTTTTATTGAGTTTGGCAGAATAAATACTTGGCTAACTTAAAGAGAAACATCATAAACATTATAATTTCTTCCTAGGCTAAATCTTATAAAGTTTGCTATTTTACCAAAAATTAATGCTTATTGAAGAAGCATTTCATTGACTTTGGCATTGTTCAATTGTCTTACATAAATACAGTTTATTTACTTATTTCATTTGTTTACTTGTACCAAAAAATACTTCAATGCATACTCAATATGCACTTCATTGAATTTGGCAAAATACATACTTAGCAAATTAAAAGAGAAAAACAGTTCATTAGCCTCATACAATCTGTTGCTGTATTCATCGCTTTTTTGTATACCAGAAATATTTGAATGCTTACTGAAAACATGCATTTCATTTATAATGTTAAGGAAGAAAGAGGACTTACTATTGCCTTTGCACTAATGCTCACCATTTGTATATATGGGATGTGTATTTGAATTTTCTTTCATCATTTCTTGCTACAAACACTTGTACAATGTTTAATGCTGAATAAAATAAAAAATCTATTGTCATTGTCGTTGTTATATGCTTACTTCAGACATGAGCGGCAAGATATTTCCTTGCTTATTGCACTTGTCTCACAGCATGGGGTCAATTTCCTGTGTATCTGTTTATTTGTCCAGTGCATTTGAAAGTTAACACTTTCAGTTGTGACAATTTCATTGCCTGTTTAATACATATCCAATTCTTATATAAACAATATATATACCTAAATGAAACGTAATCGGGCCTTAAAGTAATCATTTGTACTGACCCATGAATAAGCATGTTATAAAACATAAACTAATCAAAGGGTTTATTGATGTTTCTTATTATAACCAACAACCCTGTGGCACCTGTCCATTAAAAAATGGAAAGTTATGAAAAATTACTTTACAACATTCCTTGTCCTCGTCGATACACAAAGCATTACCTAAACAGGAAGGAATACAAATACATCAGAAATGAATAATGGTGTAAATCATGCAATGTTATATTTGTTTGCAACATAATATCTTTATTTTTAAGTATGTCCAAAACATAGGACTAGGCAATAACTTAAAAAAAAAACATATTTTGTCAATAATAAAAAAGACACTTTAATCATATAAAATTCATCGTAAAATTAGGTAACAGCTATATTGCTAAACACATAATACTTTCATTACAAAGAAGATTCTATAAAAACTTGTAATTATGTAAAATAAATGTTGCTATACACATTGTACTCTTTAATGCAATCAAAGAATTGAATGAAGGGACCATTCCAACACTGACACATGTACGTCCATGAATTGGCAACACGTGCGACACGTGTCATAAAGGGGCTTCATAACACCTTTAATTAAGGTATTTCTGATATTGCAGTCGAGTTTACTGCATAAACGTCAAACTTTATTACACACATTGAGAAATGACAAATCAAAACAAAGTAAATCATCATCTTCGTCAGCTTAGCTACTCTCTTCAAAAATCCCGGTATCGATAGGCTCGGTATCCATTGTTCACAAATGTCCAACGATGCTCTCTCCTGGATGCGTGTTTTAATTATAACATTGATTGAAAATGCCTTATGGCACATTTGCAACTACCTATATTTTGTGTGTGTTAATATTTTCATTAGGATACGGACAAAAGCCCCACCCCGGACGAAAGCCCCACCCATCTGAAAATGACAAGGTGGACAAGAGCCCCCCCCCCCATGAAATTTACACATAGGACAAAAGCCCCCCATCAAAAATACAGGTAAGAAAAAAGCCACCCCCCCCCCCCCCTGTCCATAAAACATTGTTATTGACAATCTCATCAGTTTAATTCCGGAACTTGATGTATTGAGATAAGTCAAATGCAATTGTTTTAAAAGATAATTTACATTAAGATTTAAATATAAAGGTACTAAAGTTCTAATTTGTTTTGTTGTGTAATTCTTATATAATTCATTTATGATATGAATGTTTTTATGTTTATTATATATTGTACAGTACAAATGTAAATGAATATTTTCAGAGAATCATTTATCGACGCTTATCAAGAAAATAAAAGTGGAAGATGCATTCTTGTCTAGATTAATTTTAAGTATAACCCAAGTTTCCTATAACACTGGGCGTGTGAAAAAAGATAGTTTTCAGTCTGATCTATAAACCTTAGGGAGGCTATTGTTTGCTGGACTGGGTGGGGGGTTCTTTTGTCCTACCTGTATTTTTGATGGGGGGGGGGGCTTTTGTCCTATGTGTAAATTTCATGGGGGGGCTTTGTCAACCTTGTCATTTTCAGAAGGGGGGGGGGGCTTTCGTCCGAGGGGGGGGGGCTTTGTCCTACACTAATTTTCATTATATGCTTACGATCTTATATGAATCATGCGTGTTTAAATGATACCAGTAATTAAACATACGTAATGCACATCTTGGTTTGTGCAATGACCTATGCATTTTGTGTGAGAGTTCGCTATTATTTGTTAGTGTTGCTAGTTTGGCTATCTTAAGTTGCAATTCAAAGACGTGACAGTAAACTATTTTAAATGGCTGTTTGAATTACTTTATGCTTGAATGTTAAATTGCAACATTGAATAAAAATGTATTTTGCATACATTTTCTTTTTTTACTGCTGTCTTTAAATTCAAAGCTATATATTTAATACAAATTTAATTGTGTTTTGGTACATTCATTGCTATTTTACAATCAAGGTAAAATAGATTAGTAAAGCATACAGCTAACATCACAGATCATTATCCGATAATGATACCTTCAAAAGGGAATAAAAAGCGAGTCATGTCATAATGAGATTACTCATCTGATAACATTCCGGTAGCACTCAATCCGGTATCTGATCCCATTCTTATTCTCATAGAATTGCCAATATGTGTCGCCAGCCTTTAAAGGTCCATGACACAAGTTGATATAGGTTTGTCTGTAACAAACATTTTCTTTCCGATAAGAATCAAAGCGCTGAAAGCACTGCTTGGGGCGCATTATGTATAATACAGTTCTTGATTGTAGAGCAGTCCATTGTTACAAGCGGATGCCATTCGTACTTTCACAGCAGAAGTCTCATTTTTACTCGACTATCCGATAAGAATAAGTAGAATTATCCTAGTCACCAGAGCGTCGGCGTGTACAACCTCAAATATATTCAAAGTCCTTTGACATATGGCATTGAAACTTTGCACACTTGTTCCCGATCATGCAAGCATATGTTGAAGTTTGCCTATGAATTCAAGATCATTTCGTATTCCATTTACATCTGGCTTTGAAATAAGTTGAAATTTTATACATTTCTTTGCGAGCATACTAGGACTCTCTCCAATGCTTATATCTGTAGAATTGGTTTAAAAAAAATTGGCCCTTTCGTGAACTTAGAATATTCTAAATTACCAAGGCTCTTTTATTGTCAAGCATTAAGCATATAGTTGTGCATGCTGTCCTACCAACATCTCTTGTTTGCATACCTTTTGAAATATAACTCCTTCAAACTTTTGTTTAGTTAATATTACGTTAACAAAACCACCAAGTTATGGTTGAGACCATATATATATATATATATATATATATATATATTATAATATATATATATTCCATGGAAACATTTCAAGATATGCTAATGGATTGTAGTGTATAACACGAAAATCAGTGTAATTTAACTGCATTTTATTCTAATGATCATACAAATATCTGTTAATAAATGGAACAAAATATTTCTAAAATAAAACCATGCAAACAACCAAAAACTGATGATGACAGAACAGGGTAACACTATATGCCCTGGCCATTTTATGGGGGGGGGGGCATAATGAATTTTAATGGTTAAGGGTAACCAAAATTTCATAAAACATATCTTTTTTTACTCATTGTATGTTTTGTAACTGAGGTTGTTCAACACTCTTACAAGAAATTATATTTGTATATAAATATGCTAATACAACAATTATCAAACATCGAAGAATATGTAAAATACGTACTACAAATATTTGTACATATTGAATGTAATCATTGAATTATATGCATTCATTTCTTATTGGAAAATTTGACTTAAAATTTATAGAAAACAAATTTCGAATTCTCTCCCTTTATTTACATATTAAATACTAAATTCGGTATTATCTTTAAAAATAATGCCTTTTGGAACTTACAATATTGATAAACCTTAATTTGAGCATCATATTTTTTTATATAAAACCATAAAAAATATGTTACAGGATCTTTAATATACTATTTACATATAGATGTATTTCTGTATTTTGTCTTTAATTGAAACATTTACCTTGCCTCCGTGTAAGCCAATATAATTTTGATTGTATTTTTTGCACACTGAGAAGCAAATGCCCGGGTTGTTGTTCGACAGAGAAAACAAAGCTTTTGAATTCACATTCTTGATCGACCAACATCCTGAAATATCAGTATATAACATGTAATGCAGGACTTTCACCAGTTGCCCTTTTATGCCTTTTACTAATTAAATGTTATAGGTTTTTATTAATTGTTTAAGTTTGGATGGCCGTAGTTATTTCATAAAAAATCAAAACAACTTTACCGGATAAAAACGTGGGCTGTTCTACTCTGGTGCCTGTTCGTGCCCCTGATGGACAAATGAGGTCTACCTACATCAGTAGATTAATGACATAAAATAAGTTTACATTTTGCAATAAATCCTTTCAAATTATAATTAATTTCGAATTATTATAATTTCTTACCAATGTACGCAAACGCTGTTTCCTTCGAATAATAACCAACATACGCTTCTTTATTTTTGAAGTTATTTGATATGTCTACAGTATACGATGAATTAATAATATTGATGTTGGGAGTAGCAAAGTTGCCTTTACTCTTTGCACCATTCCATGTAACCTCTTGTCTTGAAAGGACATAATTACCTAAGACTGTAAAATAAAAATAATTCACATTTAACTTAAAACGCTATTACAAAAAAAAAATAATTTATGTTTATAACAATCTCTGCGCTTTGAAATACATTTGATATACATTTCAATCTAAATACTTTTTTGAGTTTTATGATTCCCTCATGTCTGTTTCCTTAAAAATGATAATTCAAATAAAGGACCCGATATCAATAAAACGTTTACCGTTTAACAAATACTTTTGCAACATAGGAAATATGTCAAATGCATTTCCATCTCCTATACATATTAAAGCATTATTTATTTCCTACATATTAAACTGTAACTAGGCTAATAAACTGATTTTCCTTTTACAGCTTAGTACGCTGGAGTTCTTGTTTACGTTTTTTTTTTTTTTTTTTTTATTACAAAAAACAACAACAACAAAAACAACAACAACAACTACAACAAAAACAACACACATACACACAGGGTAAGAAAAAAACAACAACAAAAACGATATTATCACAAAATTAAGGTTTGAATGATTAAAATAATTAAATCATGAAAAAATTATACCGTTATCAGTCGAAACTATCATAAGAAAGATCCAACATAAACCGACATTGCAAGACATTTGAAACACATAAGACCTTGGTCTTTTCCGTTTGATTAAACAAAATAAAAATTAAAGTGATTTATACTCCAGATACAGTGAGTCAAGGGGATTCACGTATAACAAATAGATTTTTTATCTACACGCAGCTTTTCAAAATTGTTACATTACTAGGTATTTAAAAACTTGTTGAGTAACACTAAAATGACCAAGATATTCGCTATGAATATCCACCATCATGAAACTTTTGTCATGAATTATCACAAGTTTGATGATTGTAAGAATGAAATCAAATGCAAATGCTTATTTAAGTTTGAAGTCATTCAATAAAAATACATATGAAAAATAGAGGAATTCGAAATAGAAGTAAAACGTTGCAATTTTCGACTAAACGTCTTAAAAAAGATATTTTGATTGCTCGGGAATATCAAGTAGATGTAGATATCATATGAAATCTTATGAAATCTTATGAAATCTTAAAATGAAATATCCTTATCGAATGTTAAAAAACCGGTAAAAGTCTTGTTTTTCAAAAATCAAATGATTGATTCTCGATAAAAATGTAATAAAGCATTTTTGTTATTTAACACATGAGAACTGCGCCGTACTAGATAAAAATGTTCTTGAACAAAATATTTGAAGTAAATTTTTACAATTAATCAATAGTTTTGTGCATGTGTCTTTCGGTCAAAATGAACGTTCTATCATGAAACAAGTAATTCGTAGCATGGACTACAACAAATCCACAACATGACTTGAAAGTAATATTACCAAAATGTTACACATTAATTCATATTATCCATTTCCTTGACAAAAACAGATTTAGATATCTTCCCAAAATATTAAGATAATATGAGAGACAAAAATAACATAAAGCAAACATATTTCATTCACAAGATAGGATTTACATGGAAAAGAAAAATTAATGTAAATACATTAAATTTCTCTTTGAAGTTATTAATGTAACGATTTGTTGACTAATAAAAGTATTAATACATCTTACAAATAAGGTACTGTGTATATAGATAAAGAAAACATGAAAACGTGAATATGCGGAAGAAAAACGGGCTTTACATTAATCAAAAACAAAAATACACTATCTATATGAAGGATTGGTTAAAAGCCGAACAGATAACAACGATAAACAAAGTAGGTGGAGATAAAAATGATGCGTCACTTTCAAGTAAAAAGAAATCATTTTTATTGATAAAGTTGAGGGCAAGGGCAATAACTTAGGAATGTGAACGAATAAGTATCCGTCTATGTGTGTAGAAACACCGGCATTTAAAAATACAGGTAATTTAAAAGTAAGTCTACATTTGTATTTGGCGTATTTGTGTTGCAGATATATTTCATTTGTTTACAGGATAAATGATTTTGTAAAATGCGGACGTTGTTACGAAGGGTTATCCTTTGATGTTCTTAACACCATATATATATTAAGTGTTTTACCCTACTAGAGGCATTAAGAACCGCATGAATAGTAAATATGGTTTATAAGTAATTATACTCATTGTTCAACGTGTACGAGCGGGTGTGGGTATTACCGAACACTTAAGGTGAAATAAGTAGTATTCGGTAATACACGCAGTAATCACGATTTTCAAATTGACATTTGGGACGAAAAATATGAGTTTTCTTTACATTACATGCAAGAAACACTATCTACGCACATTATCTAAAGAGTTATGACATTTCATATATTAGACCTGACTTACTTCTAATTAGCGACCATATGCGTGTAATACCGAACACACATGCGTGTATTTTCCGAACACTGCCAACTTTTAAAAAAAAACGTTAATCTTCACCTGAAATATAGATAAATTAAAAACAAATCATTTCACTATTGATGTAAGCATTAATGATTCGCAAGTATTCACTATTGAACAATGTATTACCAGAGACATAGATAACATGTTATATTACGTGTTCAAATGTGTAAATATTAAATAATTTGAAGACAAATTAATTTCATTCAATAACAGCTGACCATGTGATCTTAACAATATTTGTACTCAAAAGAGGTACTTGTCAGATACTCAGGTAATGTGAAATCTACGTAAATCTGTATCTTTTAACTCCTCCCTAAGGTAGTGTTTGAACTCAGAAAACAACCTTTTAATCTTTTAACCTTTTCTGGGAAACAATCGATCGATCTCTCTCTCTCTCTCCCCCTTTCTCTTTTCCAAGCTGAATGGTTGTACGAAGAGTCAGTTCAGGGTTGCGGCGAAAGTAACCCTCCAGCCAAGATCTGCTAGATTTATTTTCACGAAAGCTGTTCAGGGACTTTCACCATTAAGTATTTTCAAGTTCAAGTGTGTGCAAGCTCTAGTCTTGTGCCTCCAGAGCCGATAATTGAGACATGACGTGCATGACCAATTCTACAATACGTCTATCCTCAGACTTTAGTTAGAACTGGCCAACTTATGACCGGGACAGTATTGTGAGGGGTGGACTATGGAATCCCATCCTTTTTTGATGCTTGGTTTCAACTAACAGAGTTTAAACGATCTAATTCAGCTACATGGTCAAGCATTTTAATTCTGCTCAATTACGTTCTCGTTTTGCGTTTTTCTCCCTGCTCATTCATAAAAAGAAATTGTCTATGTCTGTCTGATCATTTTTTTCTTTCTCTAGAGCTATTTATTTGTTTATCTATTCATTTGTTATTCTATTTTTATATTTACTTATTCATTTATTTATCTTTCTATATATCTTTTTGATTGGTTGAATGAAAGCATTAATTAATTAATTAATTAATTAATTAATTAATTAATTAATTAATTAATTAATTAATTTATTTATTTATTTATTTTAATCAATTGATTGATAATTGCTTAATTAATTTATTTTATTTATTTAGATGTATGAAATTATTTATTTTGTATTTAGATAAATTTATAACGCTATAATAATAATAACTGTGTTGTTTTAATCAGTGTAAGCATTGCGTTCGGTAATACACACATGACAAAATTTAACTGCTTGTAATTCCGAACATGCAAATAACTCAGTAAATAAATATCTAAGTGACATATTGAGTTATTTTCCATATCACAGTACAAGTATTAGTTTCACAAATAACAAGAAACATGTAACTTATCAAAATCACGTGACCAGATAACCTTATGACGTCAAGTATCTAAAATTAGAATATTTGTAACGGAGTACATAATTGTCAAGCGTAGTAGTATTTTAGTCTTGGAAATCTTTGCTTTGTCAAGTATCACGTTGGCAATATTACAGATATGTCGGGAAAGGAAGTGACATCATGTTTCTGATGTCACTGCCTTATAAGAAGAACATTTAGAAGGTTATGGTGAAAAAAAAATGTGTTCGGAAATACACGCACGTTCGGTAATACCCACACCCGCTACTAAGCATGCAAAATTTGCATATTTTTCGCAAAATTAGGTTTTGCAAGTGCATTAAACACACGGGTTTAGATTAAGGTCATTAGGCTTTTTGCTCTGTCCGATAAGATGTCATTGTCATCATAAGATTAAGTAAACAGCAGAAGAACATGTAGTAGAATGTCAGTCCAGTGTCTATTTGTATGAGAAATTATCTTATAAAATATATGTAAAGGACAGTTGATAACGTACTTTACTTTATAAATAAAAACTGTGTGGCAAATTCGTTCGTGTTAAGCCCTAATAAAGCAGAATGAAAAGAGGGAATCATTTATCGAAACTATGCATTTCTACTTGTTGGTCTTGGCATGATTTTGTCTCAATTTAAACAGTTATTATATTTCAATAATAACATAATCGAAAACCCAGAAACGTTGGATATATTTCAATAATAACATAATCGAAAACCCAGATACGTTGGAGAAAGGGAAAGAAAATAAGGTCCTGCAACAAACCTCAAGGATACTAAATGGTTGTTACTTAAATAAAACAATTTTGTAGGTAAGTAAAACTATAACATGGTGTGTTTCATAAACTCAACTTCTTTAAATCAATAACACTGAAAACACTTGACATAAGTAAGATAAAATTCTGAATGTATTTCATTTCGTCGGTGTATCGATATGTATTCAAAACTTCCGTGTTAATATTATTTATGCAGATAATCTTTGTTTAACCATGTAACAAGGAAGAAATCTTAACTTCAAAGTGATTAGTATTTAAAAATGTCGTTAAAATTAATTCCTTACATTTTTATCATATGGAATATGTTGCAACAAGGTAATAAAGTTCAATCAAATTCAATTCAATTGTAAATACAGATAAAAAAGTGAGTTTTAAGTTCATGTATTTAAATAAATTGAGCTATACTCTTAATCAAGTTTACATTTCATATGTTTGACTTAAATAAAGTATAATTATTTCTTTTATAGTAAATCATTTAAAATCCTATGAGGAAAATTGCTTTAAAAGGTTTATTTTCTATATTCCATATTGAACTTATAAGTACGCTAATTGTTACAAGGCAGGTCAGGGATTTATGCATTAGAAGTGTAGTGACATTCCAGTGGTTTTTGTTTGGTGATATTGTATGAATGGAGATATAAAGGGCTTCATTCCGTATACCTGTCTATTTGATCTTTGTTTTCAGATGTTGAAATCTATTCTTATATTGAAAATCAAGATTTAACGATTTTTAAGATATGTATCGCTATTTAATCATATATGTTTAAAAGCTATCACGGGTTGTCTATTTTAATTTCACAAGAATTAAAAAAAATACTGCAATTGTTATTTGATAATATTTAGTTGTTATTGTAGACTTGAAAGTAATTGAGTATTTTATGCAACAATAAGTATTTTGCACAGAAATTATAACCATTTTCTTTTATAATTTAGTTGAATCGCACTACAAATGGATTAAATGCGTGAACAAGATCGTAAGGAAGTGGCGGATTTTTTGTCAGATATCTGTAGCCATTTTAAACTTTTGAATCTGCATTGCATTTCTGTGGAAATAGGCTAGCCAATTTTTAAATAAATTGATATAGTTTGAATTTGACCAATATTCAAGATACGTTGTGTAATATGCATTCATTTAAAAAAAAAATATACATAGCAACTGGATGGTAGTCATAAAATTTTGTTAATCTCTCGGAACAATGTGTCACCATCCTATACTTTTCAATATATTTTAATTTTGAATAGCATTTCATGTATTTTAATATTTCTTTGTCAAATGTACATATGATATTGAGCTGGTAAATGTTTTTGCAATTGACTTGTCCTTTTATGCCGAATATAAAAGTATGATTTAATTACATTTTTTGATAAAAGATAATAAAGAAATATCCAAAGAAATTAATTGAAAAGTTCAGTGAAAAGCGTTGCAACGCTATTCAATTTTGGGTCATTTTTCACCATAAGAATAATTATTCAGGATAAATGGAGTGAGCTAATGATCTGAAATTGTGTATACTAGTTATTGTTAAAGATCTACATCAAATGGCACAAATATTTCAATACATTAATTTAAGTCCCGTCAGATCCAAAACCCTTAGAAGCATTCCACTGAGGTCCAAATGCCTAAAAAGATAACATTTTTACATACATCAACTCGGTCACTTAAAAGCTGAAAAATGTGAAAACGACAATACATAAATATGCTTAGAATCAAAATGAATATCAATTTTAAGTGCTATTCCTAGCCCTATTTTAGAATTAGCAAATAAGCATTCTTATCTCCCGATTAGAAGTTAAAGAAATGTTTTATCGCCATTGCCTTGATTTTTTTTAAAATCATATTCACACTTTCATGTTCTTGATAATTAATTATGCGGTAGCAGGTACCTCAGGATATGTTCTATCAGATAAACAGATCTCTTGGTTAGAAGCTGCTAAAACGCATACATTTGCCATCCCAGACGTATTTTCTTTAGATGAGTATCATGCCCTACTAGAAGACAGAAAAGAAATTTGGGTTGGATATTTTCAAATGAATACTGCATTTGCATATGTCGGTAAGTACTTAATTTTCATTTGCGTCAGTATTAATTTTCTTAAATTAAAGTAGAGAATAATGTTTTCTCTTTCCAAAGTTACCACCGAACAAAACAATAGAAATACGAGTTTTTTCATTTTTTTCCTGATTGGAAACGACTTTGAATTTTATTGCATTAAACATATTTATGACCTCTGTGAGAAGTGTTATGGATAACTGATTAAAGTTGCACGTGAAATGAAAAGTTTATTTTGTCTTTCAGTAGAAATAGTACTAGTCCTTGTCGCCTTTTTGTTTGAAAAATGATTCAAAGTAAACCAGGTATGTGAGAGCTATTTTAAGGACAGTTCGAACGTGGAGTAGTACAAGTACATAAAATTGTATATATGAATCTATTTCAAGGTTGTGCGCCTGTAGCCGACCATGATCCTATAACGCTGTCTTCAATACAGAGAAATTCCCCGGGAGTATGTTTTACACTGTGCAAATTAATGAGAAAGGGACATAATTATATTGGATTAGGCCAAAGCAAGGTAAATCAAAAGGTTATCCTTTTGGAAATTATGTAATTTATAGTATACTAGACGAAATAGAAACCACGTCATTTTACTAAAATTCCATGTAAAATACATATATAATATCCATAATTTGTAATTTTTATTCCAACCTCAATGTTAAGTAATTTTTTTAAGAAACAAGCACATGGAATAAAACGGTAGTTTAAAATTATTTTTGAAAAACAACGTGTAAGAGAAATTGCAAAGCTCCACATAACAGACTCATTCTTAAAATGTGTATTTCTTTTATTTTACATAGAGCTCAATTTACTAACTTCATGTGTAACAACAAGCAAGTTAACACAAAAAATGCGTTAACTTCAATTTTTGAATGTAAATAAACCTCGTATTATTACAATTATTTATTATCTATATTTCTCTATTGTTAGAATTTAATATTTATTTTAACAGTGCTATTGCCTGGGTATTTTACCTAGAACTAACATTCTCCAGACTGGTTGTAACATACAAATCTCGGACTGGATAGCTGGGGATGGTTCTAAAGTGATGTCTATATACGAGATGAAAGGCATGTTTGTTAATTGTATCTTTTGGGACATTGTATTGGTACTTTATGGATGATAATGGCGTCTGTAGTCAAGTGGTTTAGATATTTATTTTAATCCACTTGCTTCAAATCGCTGTTGTTTCAAATTCCGCCATGAACTTTGAATAATTACAAGCTTTCTTGCTAGCTTACGGAACGTCGGTGTTTCTGCTCGGTTGCTAAATTTATTCTAAGTGGAGCACCCGAGATCATCCTCTATCAGCTACGGTGTACAGTTTAATTTAATTTAAGTTTTATTGTTTATATATACATACATAAAATGTTACAGTAACACACAATTATACATTAAACATTACAATTGCAATTATTAATGTAAATATGCAAAAGGTTGGGCCTAAGGTTATAAAAGCATGATTGATGAGCGTTCTCTAGAAAGCAGACTGTAATTTGTTTTTAAAAAGATGTGAAAACATATATAAAGTATGACTTCGCGGTGACATTCGACCGCGAATTCATGTTCAGTGCGAATATTTTACACCAATAATTTCTTAAAAGACATATTTTCGCGCATCTATAGAACAATGTATATCAATGTGTTCACGGCTGCCATAAGTATGGTATCCGTGGCGCTTTCAAAGAGTGATTTTACTGTTGTATAAACTGTACATGTAACATTCAGCTAGCTCTGTATCTGTATATAAATCAGTTTGTTAGTGTGTTATTGTTTGACTGATACGATTATCGGATTCGTGTATGAGTATATACATGTTTAAACATTACCATTGCATCACGCTATTTATTTCATAGTCTGAGCCATAAACGTCTTGACATCTGATCAGATTATATTTTGGTTTTCTTAACAAACAATACAAACAACACAAACGATTAACGATTTTAACTGATTATAACATGGAAAACAAAACACAATTACTCAGTAAACATTTTAACAAAATCGGTGAAAAGATTATGGTCTCATTCAGTGCTGTTTAAAACTGTGAAAAAATCACGCACGTTTACGGATATTCTTTTGTTTGCCATAATCTGTCCGCTAGACAAATTGAATGTTTTTGTTCTGTACAATAGCGTATTGTTTGACACCAGGTGTTGAAAATAACTGTGAAGTTCTACAATGATTACAGTAAAAAGTATGTAAAATGAAAGAGGGCTGCTTACGAAAACCATTGCCTAATCATGTAAGAGTAATATCCCTCATTTTTTATCATGATGGGTGTACGCGAATTTATGATTTTCGGCAGTCACCTCCGCGAATTCAAAATAGCGCGAATACCCCCAAAATGGACCTTTCCGCGAAAATTTGCTTCCGCGAATTTAAATACACATAAACAAAAAAAAGGACATCATAAATTGGAACGTCGCCATATGTTTCCCAGCAAATTAATCAATCAGGGACGATATATTGACATGAATAATATCATTACATGAAAATAGAACATTCTGTCGTTATATTGTTTTAAATTATGGCTGACTAGTTATGATGTCTTTAACAAATGGATTGTAATGAATAGTCGCTTTGACCTTCTGCTAAATATGACAATATCAAGAAATTAAGGTCTATGATTTTTTTCAGACACACAGATAATCGCTGCGTTCGTCCCTGTGTTCAATGTTAACCTAAGACAATTTCTTTTGCACAACAAATTTAGTCCAGTCTATATAAACGACTTCAAAAATATAATATCACAAATGTTGATTTTTACAATAGCAATTGAATTTTAATTTAGTAAGGTTTGATTGCAATTTCTATTAACAGTTTGAAAAAATGCTTAATCTAAGAAAAGCATGAGGAATTTCAGTGTGTTAATACTGGAGATGAATACAAGGTATATCGTTATAATTATAGGAAATATTTCAAATAAAGTGACCTTAATTCTTGACTTAATTTTGTCAGACTACAAACCATTAATTCAAGATAAAAGGTATCACACTAGTATCAATTTGAGAAATTCAGTTTAAATATTTAAAGCTAAATCAATTTTGATGAATCTCAATGAGAATTTACTTTGATAATACATTGTTTCAGTTAGCAGTTTGTCACATATGAAAAAAGTATATATCAAGTTGATGCTTAAAATTGTTACGAATTGTCAAGGCAGGTTCTTCCTTATGTTTTTAAATCTGAGAAATTCCAGTGACATATATTCCGTTGACCACGTATAAGACAGAATATCCAACCAGTAAGTCATTTTTAATGAAAATATCATTGAACCTGTCTTCCATAACTCTTTATCGACTAAGAGTTTGTTTACTTGGTTTTATGATGCGCCAACAAAATTTAGGATTTATTGCACCAAAACAGGAAAGATTATTTTGGGTAACCTTTGCTGTTACAAACTTGAGTTTCACCAGTGGTGAAAACCACATAGCCTGTTGGAGCTAAGATATGCATAGACAGCAATTATTATAACCCAGTTTAGCCTTTCTCGATTACACAAGGATAGATAGTGGCCGAAATTCTGATTCCCTATCCTTTGAGGCAATCCTTGAAACTATTTTTGTTTTCAGATATGTTTGGATCTGATGTTAAAAGTGGTGGGAAATGTTTTGCGTTTGATAATAACAACAGAGCTGGTGTTTGGCAAAATTGTAGTCGATCTTATAATAGTGTTTGCAAAACAAAAGGCGAGTATTTTAAGTAAAGACAATTTCATGATAATTCACTTCAAGGTAAGTTATAGTTTTAAAATAAACACACAATCATCTATTCGTATATGACTGATTAAAAGCAATGAAAAAATAACAAAACAAAGTTTCCTGACAATATATTTTGAGATTATCAACGCAAGTTAATATTAACACTTTTCATATGCGTTTAAATTTGTATTGATGCTTAGATGGCAGATTCATAAAAGCTAGCAGAAGACGATGGGCTGAGTACATAAAACGATGTTTTTCAAAGAATTGTAATCCAATCACATACGAAGATGTAATGAATGAATCATATCAACTGTATAGCCTTGCAACAAGCTTAGCGTGGACACATCTTATACGAAGCATAGTAATTTATGAGTATAATGGTTGGTTTGTATTTTCATTAAAACATTGTAAGATTAACGTTTTTATACTTTGTCGCAGTTAGATAAACTATTCAGTGTATATATAAAATAAACCACAATCAATTAAATACCATTTTATAGTTATGGTTTATGTCTGAAACATTACAAAACCATAATTATAATGACTTATATGAATAATAGTGATTTAGAAAATATGATTAATATGTATTAGCTGCATCTATTGTATTACTATTATGTAAACTTTGGACTTCATTACATGTTCTGTGCAGTTTTACATTCATTCATTCGCGAATAGTATTATTTATTGATAATCACTCATTGGCTTAGATAAAACATAACTTAGGTGTGAGTTTAAACAACAACAACAACAACACAATTTATTTATAAAAACAACTTTAAAGCATGGGTTTTTCGATAAAATGAGTGTTGAAAATGTACTCTGCTTTAGACTGTAAAACATTCATTTTTATTGATCATATTAAATTTTATGTTAAGTAACTTTTCTGAAAAATATCAACTGTAGTATTTTTTACTTGACAGAGTTCAATAGTTCAAGGAACGTGGCATACGGTTATTTAAAGAGACAATATGGATACATAAGTCTGTATTTTACTCCAGACGGAAAAGCGGCTAAACAAGCCCTTTTCACCACAAGTAGGTATATTTTAGAAAACAAAAATATATGCAAGGACTATGATTGGTTGTTTAAAAAATAGTTTATCTGAAAAAAAAAAAAAACAGAAATGCTTAAATATCATAGTTCAGTTTCTGTGTTGTTTCTGAGTTAAATATATATATATATATTTCATTTTTTGTAACTACTTAATAATAATATGTTATTCTATTTATTTTAAATTTGATATTTTAATGCTTGTTTGTTCGTTTGATTTACGTCACACCGACACATTATAGGTCATTTGACGACGTTCCAGCTTTATTGCTGGATGAAGACTTCACGTGCCCTTTCGTGCATAATTTCAGGCACGAACGGGCACCTGAGTAGAACCACCGACGTTCCGTAAGCTAGCTGGATAGCTTCCTCACATGAAATAACCCGAAGTCCCTGTCGGGATTCGAACCCACAGCGGTGAGGGGCGAAATGTTTGAAGTCAACAAACTTTTCCATTCAGCCCTTGATATTTTAATATACATTGAGCTAGCGATAGAGATTAAGAATTTGTATTGTGCATATTGAAAAAACATGTAAAATGTTTGTCTGCATTAAGACGAATCACTGTTTTTGTCCGAAAAAGAAAAATTCTATGCCAAGAAAATGTATGATTTATTTCACATTATTATGAATTCTTAATCAATAAACATTTAAATTGAAATAAAAAAACACCTTAACTGTTAAGGTTACATGCCTTCAGATGAGACAAAATATTTCAAAAAATCAAAATCAACATTTAACGAGGAAACGAGTCACGACAAGTTATGTAACTACGATTAAAGACTTATTTTGCAATATTCACCGTATTTCTAATGCGACTAACGCAGTAAGGGATATTTATTTTGCAATATCCAACGTATTTCTACTGCGTGACTAACGCAGTCAGGATTACTTTTTGCATATTTTAATTCTTTCATGGATTGTTACTGTCGTTAACAAATTACTTTATTTGTTCACTTCTCAATGCTTTACTTTAAATACATTTTTAAAATAGTCCTGAAAATTAGCAAGAGTCCTGAAGCAAACTGCTATAACACTAACGCTGATTTCTTTTATACATGCACTTTTATCATATGCTTACTTTGTGTCTTTATTTTACACTATTATTTATCATTATCATGATATTAATGTTCATTAAAGCTGCGTTTTTTTTTATTGTTAAGTTGCATTTAGAGATATAATCATATTTTTTGTCCGAAGCAAAATCGTTACATGAGTTGTACTTATTTTGTTTTGTTATGAAATAACTAATTGCAACATAATTGTATATAAGCTGATGTACCAGGACAAACAAATGATAAAACAACATCCATGGCAGGTATATCATCACCAACAACGACATCGAACCAGGAGTCTGTTTTAACCGGAAGTTCATTATCAGCGGAGTCTACAACTGACGAGAGCATTCCACAACAATCGAAACACACGATTCAAAGTAAGTTTTAGTTTTATATCAAGCACAACCTTACAACATAATATTTGTTCGTACTCTTTCACCACCATAGACAATTACATTTCTAATTTCTGAATAATATTGATTACATTATTTGTTTCAGATTAGTAAATAGGGAATGTGTCGTTTTCTTAAACACAGCAAAAATAGTAAATATAACGCCCAGTTTGACTGATTAGCAGCAGAAAAAGGAAATTAGTATGCCTTTAACGAGAAAATAATCGGAAAGAACTTACCAAAATTATGAAAGTGGATAAATTGTTATAAATAACACTTACTTTTCCGTAAAATAACCATTAGTCGACAATGTGAGACTTGGCATTGAAGTCAGCGGCAGCTTCTACAAGTGACATGCACTGAGAATTAAAATGTACCGCAAAAATGTATTTAGAAAGATAAATATTTAAACTATAAGAACAAAAACAAAAACGAAAAAGAACAAGACGTGTTGGTAATCATTGAACAAGCCCATTTACCCTTGACCCACACATACACACTCTCACGTACACATAAGTGCCCACGCAAGCACGCACTCCAGTAACACAGAGTCATAAGCCAAATATATATTAAGTTTTTATTACTTGTTAAAAATACTCTTGCCGCAAAAAGTCTTCTGACTGAAAACAAGCAACGAATTTATATCTTTATAGTTGACATTGAAAACACATCTGCTATAGTTTTCATGGAGATAATGCATCGAACAGATGGAGAGGTCAATCGAAAAAAAATAGAGAAAAATATTCAATTACGAAATTTACTGTCGGAAATTGATATAAGTTATAGAGATGCTGCAACTATGTTATTGTAGTGTTATCAAAGTTTCTTCCATTACCCTAAAATAACAGCTTGCCACGAAAAATTGTTTTCATTTTTATCAAATGTACATTTTTTCAGACTCCGACGTTGGAGTGTCTGTGGGGCTGTCGGTTACTGCTGTCATTATTGTCGTCACAGCCGTTGTTATAATTGTGACCTTGAAAAGACGGTATTATGTATTAATTATTAACATAGACATTAATACAGAGCATACTTTTTTTATAAACTAATATATTCTTAAACGTCCTTTTTAGATCATGTTTATTTCTTTATTCCATGTGGACAGGCCGATTTATTTATTATTACCCTTAACGAAAACGTGTCTGAACTCCAATTTGTAATTTAATGTATTGTCAGTCGTTGAAATTGCAGGCTAAAAATCTTAAGTATTGATATTAACTATAACTTATGAATGAATTTTTCTGCATTTCTTTTCAAATTGACATTACCGATTTAACATGTTTGTTAAAACAAGCAAAATAAGCAATATTTATTTTAATTGTAATTGGTAATTTGAAAGGACTTTCTTCTTTTTTTTACAGTGGAAAAATTCAAACTAAATGTTTCAGACAAGCCGAATCTGAATGTTCTGCATATATTTCCACGGAATTACATCCCAGCTCTAAAAATGATAAAAATGCCTACGAAATGTCTTTAGGTTCTCCTTATGATCAAATTGATGATTTAGGACTCCCATCAGAACCTTGCTCTGATAATGAAGGAACTGATAATGGCATTAGCGGACACACATATTTTATCCTTGAAAAACATACATGGGAATCTGATACCGATGATGATATTGAAAATAGGACAAAAATAGAAACAAGCAATGTCTATAATACGCTAATCTCTAATGAAAAAACTGGGAGCAATGAATCTGGAAATACGTACGATACTACTGAGAAAGTCGTCACGAAATTGAAAGCTCAGCACCATACGCATGTAGAAGATTCGACGGAAAACACGTATAATCTTACGGGTAGCAGACCAGTTAAGATAGGCAAAACCGACAACGTATACGGTGTTCTTAACAATGTTGAAGGTGAATACAATAATGTTGATACAAGAAATATAAAGAGCCAGTTCAATGGAAGAGACACGTACAGTCATATCATGAAGAAAAATTAAACGATTGTTGTGTAATACTATGACAAATTCAAACTTTAATGTTGTCGAAATATCATTCAATAATTGAGTATCTATTTTGTTTTGATATAATTTTTGATGATCAAATGGATTCGGATTCAATTAAATTAATCGATTGCATGTAATATGTCTAAAAGTATGTTTGCGTTTTATGCATTCATTTTGCGTATAAATAAACTCTGGTATGTTAAGCTTTGCTGCAGGCGCTTGAATTTCTTAATGTTAATAATTTTTATTCAAACAATAAATGTTCAATATTCGGATTAAATTTTGTGTACCGTAAACATAATTTTATACCTTCGAAATGAGGTTGGATCATTTGGCATTGAAAATATTTGATACAAAGAAAATAATAGTGTAACAGTTGAATCAAATGTAGCAAGGACAATAGCGATTCGACAGTAACAATTAATTATTACCTCGAATCTTTTATAGATGTTTTAAGTTAAATTGTTATTTTTCAATCTCTTAAATATCTTTAATATTGTTAAACGTTGTTTTATTGATATTTTATATCTAAAATCTTTAAAATTGTGTTGCTTTTATTGTAATTTTTTCTAAAATTGGTTGTTTCATTATATATCTTTTTATCTCATTATTATTTTGTATTATTACAAATACATGTCATATACATGTAACATCAATATAATGTACAATTCAGATACAAGTAGTAACTGCAATACAATTAAACAAAACAATTTTAATATACAAATACTGCAATATCATTTTGTACTTTTTAAGTGAATTGGCTTACAATTAAAAACAACATATTTAAATGTTCATTCTGAATCACTTTGCATTTTATTTACTTCTAGCTAAGAATATCCAAATGATACATTTCTAGTGGGATTTTGGTTTTTATTTTATTGTTTTTTTTTATTGTTTTTAAATATTTGAGCTGCTTACAATATAATAAAAAAAATGTGCCAAATATAGACCAATCCGCTTTTAACAATCGTAAATTTAATCATATGCAAATAATTGATAATTATAATTATTTTTCACATAGTAACTTTACCATGAACCAATTTGACAGTTTATTTCCAAAATGTTTGTATTTTTAACAATTGATAAGTCTTATTTTAAGCTTCCTTTCAGCCCATTGAGATTTGGAACAATATATTTTCTTTTGCATGAATAAATATATCTTTTGGCAAAATATGTTATAACTTTCAAAAATTTTCTTGGGATTTCCAAAACTAACAGTTTTCCAATCTATCTCAAAGTTTACATTGAATGATTTGACATGTTCAGTAATATCTGCTGTTACAGTAAATAATTTTATTTTATCATATTCCCAAAAACAAGTGAAATGGTGTTTCACTCTCATCTTTACAGAAAGAACATTTTTCATCAGTCACAATATTCTTTTGTTTTTAACAAAGTATTTGTAGCTAAAATTCTATGCAAAAGCCGAGTTTGAAAACATTTCAAATAAGTATCATTTGTTAGCTTATAAATCTAACTGTATAGATGTCGACACTCCAAAGGACCTTTCTTAAAACACTACACCATGCAGCTTGGGATGTAGGCTTTTTGTAATGGGTGTTTACATAGTAATATAGGTTTAAATTAACATGGTATCAAGGGAAGGTGTGGGGAATCGATTTGTCACTGATTAATTCTGTTCTGTCTTTTACATAGTATTTTATGCTTCTAATGAGCCTTTTAATTGTAAGAAATTTGTATTTAAGCCAGTTTTTCTATCAAATTCATGAACCTTTTAATTGTAAGAAATTTGTATTTAAGCCAGTTTTTCTATCAAATTCATGATCTGTTATAAAATTTCAGCTAGCGTCCAATATATATCTGACAAATCAAATCCCTTTTACATACCAATCCTTAAAGAACACTTGTCTATGATCTATAAGTTGTGATTATAAAACAATGGCATACTACAGAATTTGGCTATACTATCAATTGGGAAATTGTTTATAAAATCAATGTTACATTTAACAACATCTTTCCAAAAATGATTGTTTCAGTTATCATGTACTATTTCCGCATACAATCTTCCACGATTGAACATTTTTTCAGTATGTATAATAACATTAGCTTATGCATAACAATTATTCTCACCTCCTAGTAAAAGTCTTCTAACTCAAGTCAGTTTTAAAACAATTCATATATGAATTTTCAAACCAACTACTGTAAAATCTTTAATAACAATGCTATTTTATTCTATATGGACCACTCCATATGAAGTCAAAATTATTTTATTAATATTATCTATCCAGTGACAATGAGATATAAGTATCGATTAACATGGACAATAGTATACGTCCTAATTGTGTCAGTTCTCCCTTTTTCCAATATTGCATACATTTGGTTGTGTTATTGTTATTCTACATCTTAAATCTTATAAATTGTTTGTTTTATTGTTTTTGTATACATAACGCTTTTATATATTGTTTGTTGTATTGTTATTTTATATGTAAAATATACAAAAGTATCTGCAAGCAATTATCAATTCACCTAGACGCTAAAAGAAGTTATTTAAATTAATAGATGCAAACAAATACAATTATAATCGTTGGCATTTCAAAAGACGCAAACTGTTGTTTCGCTTTGGCATGATTATTGCAGCTCTGTCCATTATCTCTCAAGTTCAGTCAAACCGATTCAAAATTTGGAAAAAATTTAATTTAAAAACAAAGTGATTATGAAATTGAAAATAAAATGTTTTAATACTGGGAATATACATTTACCCGATGGTAATACTGGCAATCTAAGACAGACTACAAACAATATTGCTTTGATCCTATGCTGAAGCATATTGAATTGACGTAACGTGTGACGCACAGTTTTCCTAAAGAAAATCCTATAGGCTTCTTTATCGTAATCTTTCAGTTACTGCACCGACGTTTTGACATATTGTTTTAGATCTTTCTCTGGTGTGTTTTATTACCTTTACAATCTCTATTGGAGTCTTCATGCTCTGATTTTAAGCTTTCATAGTGCGTAGCCAATCAAATCACTGTAAGGAGTTTGGAGTTTTTTGCAATTAATTTTGCATTTGATAACTAACATGCTATCTAAGAGCGTCGCGGGCTTTTTGCATATTAAATCATCAGAGCTGTCCGCGCCAATGGCAATAGTATTACTTAATTTCATAATTTTGATTCTGCTTATATGTTCCCTAGTACAAGAACTAATTGTGAACAGTACATATATTGTAATTGATTGATGACCGCGTACATAGACTGCAATGTTTGAGAACAGTATGTATACAGTATATATTTGTGAACAGTACATCTACAGAATTTTTTAACAGTACTATAAAGTTATTATTTGTGAACAGTTCTTTTACTCATTATATTTGTGAACATTGCTAATACTGTTTTATTTGAGAACTACTGAAGAACCGTAGGGCTATTTCAACTTCATGAATCTTCGATTTCATCTTAATGAATTCACAAATATTCAACAATCGGAATTCAGGAATTCACAAATTCAACTTCACGATTTTAACGAATACAACATTTCAACTAAATGAATACACGATTTCATTTTCAGTAATTTACGATTTCAACTTCAATTATTCGCGATTTCAACGTCATGAATTTACAGTTTAAACTTTAAGGATTCAACTCCGTCAATACACAATTTAAACTTAATAGATTAACGATTTCAACTTCATGAATTCACGATTTCAACTTCACGAACTTGCGAAGTTGAAATATAATATTAATGAAGATGAAAGCCAGAATTCATGAAGTTCAAATGTCCCTACCGGTCTTTCGTAGAGAACAGTACTTATGCATGGTATACTCAACAGAACGTATACGATAAATATTTATTAACCGTACACATGCATACAACGGGTAATGGGTTGAATTGTTCTTTTCATAGATTACTGACGGGTGAAGAACGACTTTCTCACTTACGAACAAATTAAAACTTCCTTGTTTACGCTACACACATTACTTTGTGAATATAACAAGACGAGTAACTGAAATGCCTTTGTTTAAAATGTCACTTCAAACGTGTGCTTCTTTTTTGTTTATATGGACTACTATCTTTCTTCAAGGTAAATAATTTGATTTACTATTGAATTGTAATTATTTCTTATAATGAGGAGACCTTTTCTGACTTCTAACACCATTTGACATTTGCCATTGACCTACCTTTATTTACATAGTAAAATTTAAACGTATTAAGATCAGATTTTAATTCAGCATTTCTAACATACCATGAATCAAATACGTTTTTCCTCTGAATATTCGAACTTTCAAATTAATAACAAAAATTAAAACAGAAAGTACTTTAACTATTGAAAATATTCTAGATACTTTGAGGTGTATTATTTATTTCTTGAGCTCATATTTTACGATAAATGTACTCAATTAATACTTTTAAAGGTAACACGCGTCAATGCAAATGTTTAATGAAAAATTAAATGGTATAAAGCCATATATTTGATACTTAAGATCACAGTTCACATATTTTGCTTTATATTTGGGGAAAAAAAATGACAAATGTTGGTGTATTTCCTATCGAGCGCATGCATAAAATCGTTCTTAAAAGGTAAAACCCTTAAGATCAAATTATTTTGTTCCGAAACATTTCATTCTGTTTATGTGCAGTAAAAAAAGTTCAAGCGGTAAATATTTGTCTATACGAAACTCCTAAGGTGATACTTTCCACACTTTTTCCCGAGACATTATTATTCGTTTTGACGAAATATTAATTCGTATTTGCAAAAATATTTATTCGTAATTATCAAATATTAGTTCGTTTTTACGAAATATTATTTCGTAATTACGAAATATTAATACGTAAAAAAACGAAATAATAACTCGTTTTTACGAAATACTTTTTCGTAATTACGAAATAATATTTAATAAAAACGAAATAATTTTTCTTTTTTACGAATAATTATTCGTTTTTACGAAATATTTAATTCGTAATTGCGAAATTCTTATTCGTAAAAACGATATATTAATTCGTTTTTACTAAATAAATCCTGTGCTTAAACGGAATCAAATTATGCATAATGACCTCTTTTGTGTCGGCTCAATGACTTGACACCTATGACATTAAGTTTTTCTATATTTATCGTTTTTATGATCGCATGGTGCCAATACATAAATTTAAAGACAATACATTTTAAGTGACAATCAGGAAGCCAGCTCCTTTGGGTTTTACTAATGCGTATAATAAAAGAAAGTAATACTTTAGTCATTTATTTATTTTAAAGAAAAACATGCCAGAAAAGATTGATTGTGTCAGAAATTAAAACATTTTGATCTTTTGCCAGCTGTTTGGTATATGTTTTTGGAAAAGGGGAAAAAGGGATGTTTTGGATTGAAAATGACTTCTCATTCAAAAAACCTGTTCAATAAAATATGATAACTTGAGAGAAATTAAACGGAGCCCCTAATTAGGTGACATTTTCGGCATTTTTTTCCCGGAGGTTAATTCGTTTTTTTTTTCGAAATATTAATTCGTATTGACGAAATATTAATTCTTTTTTATGAAATAATAAATCATTTTTACGAAATATTAATAAGTTTTAACGAAATATTAATGCGTTTATACGAAATATTTATTCGTAATAACGAAATATTAATTCGTAATAACGAAATATTAATTCGTAATTATGAAATATTAATTCGTTTTTACGAAATATTTTTTCGTAATTACGAAATATTTATTCGTAATTACGAATTATTAATTCGTTTTTACGAACTATTTATTCGTTTTTACGAAATAATAATTCGGAATTACGAAATAATAATTCGTTTTCAGCTCACCTGTCACAAAGTGACAGGGTGAGCTTTTGTGATCGCTTTTCGTCAAGCGTCCGTCCGTCGTCCGTCCGTCCGTCCGTCCGTCCGTCGTCCGTCCGTAAACTTTTGCTTCAAATGACATCTCCTCATAAACCACTAAGCCAATTTCATCCAAACTTCACAGGAATGTTCCTTTGGTGGTCATCTTTAAAAATTGTTCAAAGAATTTAATTCCATGCAGAACTATGGTTGCCATGGCAACCGAGAGAAAGAGACTTTAAACATCTTCTTTTAAAGAACCCAAGGAGCTAGAGCTTAGATATTTGGCATAAAACATTTTCTAATGAGTGTCTACCAAGTTTGTTCAAATAAAAGCCCTGGGGTCAAAATTGGCCCCGCCCCAGGGGGTCATTTATTTTCCCTATATGCATATAGTAAAAACTTAAAAAATCTTCTTTTAAAGAACCCAAACAGCTAGAGCTTAGATATTTGGCATGAAACATCTTCTAATGAGTGTCTACCAAGTTTATTCAAATAAAAGCCCTCGGGTCAAAATTGGCCCCGCCCCAGGGGGTCATTTATTTTCCCTATATGCATATAGTAAAAACTTAAAAAAAAAATCTTCTTTAAAAGAACGCAAAGAGCTAGAGCTAAGATATTAAGCATGAAACATCTTCTAGTGAGTGTCTACCAAGTTTTAAAGAACCCAAACAGCTAGAGCTTAGATATTTGGCATGAAACATCTTCTAATGAGTGTCTACCAAGTTTGTTCAAATAAAAGCCCTCGGGTCAAAATTGGCCCCGCCCCAGGGGGTCATTTATTTTCCCTATATGCATATAGTAAAAACTTAAAAAAAATCTTCTTTAAAAGAACGCAAAGAGCTAGAGCTAAGATATTAAGCATGAAACATCTTCTAGTGAGTGTCTACCAAGTTTATTCAAATAAAAGCCATGGGGTCAAAATTGACCCGCACCAGGGGGGTCATTGATTTTCCCTATATGCATATAGTAAAAACTTAAAAAAAATCTTCTCTTAAAGAACTCAAAGAGCTAGAGCTAAGATATTTAGCATGAAACATGTTCTAATGGGTGTCTACTAAGTTTGTTCAAATAAAAGCCGTGGGGTCGAAATTGGCCCCGCCCCGGGGTCATTGATTTTCCTAATACGTGTATAGCAAAAACTTAATAAACCTTCTTTGAAAAAATCCCAAATAGCTAGAGTTTAGATATTAAGCATGAAACATCTTCTAATAAGTGTCTACAAAGTTTGTTCAAATAAAAGCCCTGGGGTCAAAACTGGCCCTACCCCAGGGGTGTCATTTTGTTTAACTATATGTGTTAAGTAAAAACTTAAAAAATCTTCTTTTAAAAAACCCAATGAAGCTAGAGCTTAGATGTTTAGCATGAAACATCTTCTTATGGGTGTCTACCAAGTTTGTTCAAATAAAAGCCCTTGGGTTAAAATTAACTCTGCCGGGGGGGGGGGTGGGGGAGAAGGTCATTGTTTTTCCTTATATGTGTATAGCAAAAACTTAACATCATGAAACATCTTCTAATGGGTGTCTTAATTCCAAGTTGTTCAAATAAAAGCCCTGGGTTTATACTGGCCCCGCTTCGGAGGCCTATATACAGGTGAGCGACCTCAGGGTCATCATGTCCCTCTTGTTTTACAAGTGCAATAAAATGTTAGAAAGTGCAATTAAATTTTAGCAGGTTTATAGATACATATGTTTTTGTATACTGGTTGCAAACATGGCTGAGAAGAGCTTATTGCAACATTGATGGGTTATTGGGTAAATGTGAGACAGAAATAAAAACGGATAAAGATTTGGTTTATGGTGAAAATGCCCTTCCATATCGTACAAAAACCAGGCGGGTGTCCATGGTTAAGGAAGGTTGAACTTATAATAATGATTATCACCGGCCTGGGCGGCCAATTCCGCTTATTCCAAAAAAGACATCAGCGTAGACGTAGTTGATGAAGATGCAATATACACCATGGAGGAGATAAGTGACATATCGGGCCTTAGTACGTTAATGTGTTTTCCATTTTAAAATCATACACCAAATCTTGCTTTCGCAATCGCCAGTTCTAAAGAAGTAGTGCCACCGGAAGCGCTCTCTACCAGTGTATAAACAGTATACCCAAAGAACAGTTCACAAATGCTTTAAGGAAAGGATTCTGAGGCTGTAAAAGTGTGGGGTCCATGGTGAATGTTTTGAAGGACTCAACTAATCATTTTAACAGACTTATTTTGACTTATTTATAAAAACGCGCTGCCGTTGCCACTTATTTAAATATGCCCCTTGTAGAAAAGCGTTTACTTATTATTTTATTTCATTCATTTTCTGATTATTTTGTTGAATGAAGGTTTTTTTTTATATAGGGCCATTCGACACAATATCTAAATATTTACTAAATGCCTGGCTTTTTTATTATATCATTAATCGTATTCAGCGTAAACATAGAATTTTATGTAATAATTATAATATTGTTGATCATTCAATGCTATAAGTATAAACATGTGAAATGTGTTGTCATGTAGCAAAAGGCCCTCTGTACTTTTTTTCGATTCGTTATGGGTAGCTGATTTTGGGTTTTTGCATTCACGGGACTAAATAGAAAAAGGACGAGACAAACAGGTAAAGGTACATTACATTAATTAAGTCATTTTTTTTGCATTTACATCTGTCGTTCTGTCGTGTCGTAGACTCTAAAGAATTGCAAAAAGCAAAACCTCATTTAGCCCTCAATGAGCAATGAGATGCAAAAATTAATTCTATATCCAGAATTCTGTATCCTGATTGAGAGCTATTTCTAAATTAATAACTTCTAAGGTGCATCCGAAAATCTGCCTTTATCTGCTATGTAATAGATGAGGCATCGTTAAGTTTATACAAAAAAAAATGAATGCAAATAGAAAATAACAGAACAAAACAACAATTGTATTCACGACTTTTACAATAAGTACACCATCACATATACCAATATATACAATTTACAATATCCAATATATATAATTGTCACGGTGAAATTACATATTTACATTTCATATCAATTATCAAATGAGGATGAACTACAATTAATTGTAAGGAAATGTAGTTCTAAGAGATAATGCATTTTAATATGCAAAGCTAGATTTTTCAAAAGTAACTTGTTTGTTGAATTTAAAAGATCTAACCACTTATGAACGTTAGTTCTAACGTAGTATTAGGTTTAATATATGTTGTTCTAAGCTCATCATAACATGAACAAATATAAATAAAATGATATTCGTCTTCCAAATCGTTCATGTTAATAACGTTCATTCAAAGGTAACCTATTATTTCCAAACCTGCCTAAGTAAAAGATGAGAATACCTTCTGATTTAACTATTTAAAAAAACTAAAATTGCTTGGCAAAATGTCTAAGTACAGTTCATATGTAAAAGTGTGTTTCATATCATATTTGTATACAAATCTGAAACATTATTGTTTTCCTTATCAACATGCAAGGTCTGGACAGAAGTGTCAATAAGTCTCTGCTTAAACATAGGTATAAATAAGTTTACATTAACAGATTTAGATACCTGTATAATTGAAAACAGTTCCTAAAAAGTTAAACTCATTTGCAACATGTAACTTATGGCCTTTGTAAAAAATTCCACGAAAGGCAATAACCCTCCTCTTTTTCTAAAAACCATAACTTTTGTTTTATCAATGTTAACTTCAAGGCCACATCTATCACAATATTCACATAATAAATTTAAACTTTTCATGTTTTACATATTTCATCTGGTGAATTTCCAAGTATAGCCATATCATCTGCAAATAACATTAAAATCAGTAGCATTTCATTATTTTCTAATCCACAATTGACGTATTG